TTGCCGCTCTTCTTTTTGAACAACGGACGCCACCGGCGTTCAGACTCCTTTGAACACCAGGTGCGCACCTCCCATGCGATGCTGTTGATCGTGAACGCCTGGAGCGCGTCGGTGTTACGACGGGACTTCAACTGCTTGAGATCCAAACAAGAATGGAAGCGTGGCTCGCTGTGGATGCGTGAAGATCAGGTCGTCTAGCTGGCTGCGGAGTAAGCCGCAGAGAGCTAGTAGTCCACCTAGTTTTGGGGATGAGTTAGTGCCAGAACTGGTTGCTTAGCTGCTTCTTTGGAGAATCCAATTTTTGGATGGCCAAGTGATTTTCACTTCCCTGCAGAGTCGCGATCCAGGTCGAGTTGCACTCGGAAGGTCAAGTTGCGAAGGTCTGTGTTTACCCCGAGAAAGAATCCGGTTTGACAACTATCCAAGTTTCTTAGATATTGACTGTCTTTTTCATTGCTTTTCTATCTTCAGGCTGTGTTAAACGGTGTGAATGACCCAAACTCCTTGCCGCCTCGGACGCTAATCTCCCCGTGGTTTCCGCCACCCACCGCGGGTCTGTCTGGTCTAACGCCCTGCCCTGGCTGCCGAGGCGTCAGCGGACTCTTCCGGAAGACCTCGCGGGCCTTCGAGCGGTGCTTCGCCAGCTTGGGCGCCACCATTGTGATGCTCCTCCTCTCGGCGCTCATCGACCTGAGCCACAGGTGCCAGGGGTAGGGGACTGGGCTCGTCTCCACAGGCCACGCACCAGTCAGATCGACCGATGGGAGTTTGAAGCTGCTGGTATTGGTCAGGCACGTAAGTAGCGTTGGGCTGCTTTTCTTATGTGCTGCGATGACGGTTACTGATACTGTATCTTTCCTACCACCTTGTTCCACAATTTCGGAGCTTCAAATTAGGCATCTTCAGGCTCACGTGATTCTTTTAACCAATGACCATGCCAGGTTTTCCTAGCGCACTGAGTTTCTCATAGTTTGTTTTGAACAAAGCTCTTGTTCATTTGGTTGAACGTGTACGGTGCAACCGACCTGTCTTTCTTTTACAGACCTGTCGACGAGTCCATGTTGACGGCAGCCGAACTCTTCAGGAACACAACCAGACGGACACAACGAGAAATTGATCCGTCATACCGCTCGATTTCTATATGCAAGATCCGTCAGACCGCCACCAGTCCGCTACGAGCAGCGGAACGAACACACCAGGGAGGGAAGAAACTAGGGTTAAGGTTAACACTTGAAAGGAGGGAGGGCAAGGAAGATGGAAGACACTGAAGGTCTCCGAGATGGGCCCTGCGGCTGACCCTCGCCCCATCATGTCAATGGAGGTCTGCCAGGTTGGAAGATACACCCCGGACAGGACAGCGTCAGAAAGCATGCGTTCGTGCTCAACCAGTCCGTTGAGGATCCCACGAACTCCGCCACACCCTCCTGGTCGATTGGTGACGCCTCGTCGCAGTCGCAGTTTTGCAACGAAATCTTAAACGATCTGGTTCTGGGACAAACCCTGAAACTTCCACGCGGGTTGAGGCAAACCCATTTGTTGGGTCGCCGCGGGTTTTCGCCGTATCCCTTCTGAAACCGCGAATTCTCCGCTTCCTGCGTGGTCTTTCTCGGCTCGCATCGGTTGCAGAGGCAGGATGTGGAGATCCTCGCTTCTCTGGCTGTGGCCCTGTTCCTGCCAGGGGTCTTATGGACCAATGCGTCCACAACGACCGCTTGCGGCGTGGCAGCAGAGACCACCATCCGGAGACGAAACAGAGTTAGACAGGAACTCGGTGAGTCTGGTAGAACTCAGGGAGTCTGGTAGAACTCAGTGAGTCTGGTAGAACTCAGTGAGTCCTTCCAAGCCGTTTTGGCAGTTCCATGAGCAATTGCCATGGATCTATTTTTCCATCCTGAGCCATTGGCCAGTCGTTTTGGCCTTGCGGGTCGTGGGGTCCTGAGGTAACCGGCTGCCCTCGCTGGTGATGCTCTGCGAAGTGTCGGACGAAGAGGAGGACGCGGAGTACATGGACTTGGCGATGTTTTTGCACTTGAGCAGCTTGGGCGGAAGGGCTTGGGCGGAAACACGAATAGACACGAAAGCAGGAGAATCCCCGGGACCTGAAACAGTCCCCCAAAGAAATGTTTCTTTTGTTTTTGGGGCAAAGACTGACATGGTGGTTGAATAAACGGTGACGCGAGACTTCTTCCTTCAACAGTTTTTTGGTTAACCTCCAAATGAACACCGAAGATCAGAAAAGGCACCTGTGCGAATTCGACATGAAGGTGGCCCCCCCTCCGAACCCACGTCCTCCTCTCCTTCTTCTTTCCCCAACGGATGTGGCCGTGTTCGACGGGAAGAGGTGAATGCGGCTTCTTCATGTGGGACACCTGTGTGACGCTGGGCTTTGTGCAGAAGTTTCTGGAGCCAAAAAAAGCTGGGAGGAGAGCGGGGAGGACGGAGCTGCGTAGCGGGGAGGGGGTTCGGCCTTTGCAGACTGGGAGCTGCTTTGCTCCTCGTTCACTCAGATGCTGGGTGCATGGACATGCCAAGAGAGGTGATATATAAGTGACCGTCAATAGGACCCTACTGGAGTACCTATGGGATAGTCTATAGGGTCCTTCAACCTCTGTTGGTGGGTGGAGGTTGGTCCTCTTCCAACGCTGGGCCCAGGGACCTGATGTTTTCCTTTTCAACGAGGGGCCAACGTGAGGGCGAGGTCACCGCGCTTCGGCGCGGAACGACTTCTTCGTCTTCGGTCTGTTGTTCGTTCGTGACAGCGGTGCCGGTCCAGAGATCTTGAATGTTTGTTTTGGAGACGGACCTGGGGAATTGAGGGAACCCCTTGCCCCGACACCATCAAATGGTTTCTCAGAAGCCCTGGACCTTTCGGCTTTTTGGCCTTTTGCCCCCACAGCCCGGTTTCGAGGTTCTAAAGGAGGGTGCTGCCAGGGTTTTCGCTGTTCTCGCCCAGAAACTGGGTTGCTGAGGTTCCTCTACTTCACCACAGCGATTGCTGGAAGTATCGGATTTCAGGTTGGAGCCTTTTCAGCGTAACATCAAGGAAGAATGTGGAAGAATGTGGTCACATGTGCAGTTGCAGCTGCCGGAGCCCGATAGTTGGCAGCTAGAAGTGGTTCAGCTTCTAGCAAGCACCGGCAGGAAGTAGCTTGCACAGCCTCCCAGATGGCGGTTCTTCCGTTGATCCCAGCCAAGTGTTTATCTCTTTCGGAGGGATCAAGCAGTCGAACGGGGACCAAAAGGACTCACCTTGGGACTTGGGCGCTGCACGGAGTGCGTGCTCGGTGACGAGGTACAGTACCCCCCCAAACCATGGAATTTTTTAGACTCTAAGTGGTCGCCCCTTCCATATACCCGCCGATTTTCCGCAGGGCTCAAACATGAAAACCGCGAACCTGGCCAAAGACACGTGGGATTTGTCATCTCTGAATTGTTTGAGCCGTGTCATCCGTCGCCAGAGAAGCTGGATGCGTCTTTTTGGCCCAACAGTCCCTCTGGAAGACGTACGGATGTGATGCTCGGCAGGGTAGAGATCTTTTGACCTTGGCCGTGGCTCAAGGTGAAGGACGGACTCAGTCTCGACTGATCCATCATGAAGTGGTTCACACCATCCCACGGAATCGGCATATTTCTTATGCTGTCAAAAATTGCTGTAACTTGCTTGGAAGTCACTGAAGTGGGCAAATGTGCAGAAGAGGCCGAGTCCTTTGCCTTCTGAGCAAGATTCGCCAATGGCTTCAAGACCCGAGCCGCGCCTTTTGAGAGTGCGGTTGCGGATTCTGCAAAATTTCCAGTGATGGTGCCGGGCTTCATCTCGCACGTCGAAGATCAGCTGCAGCTGGCTGTCGACCATGTTCCAGGGACAGGCGAAAGAAAGGAGACCAAGGTTTGTGGTGCTCAAAAGAGACACTGACGGAACTTGGCCCCTTAGTCTGAGCAAAAGGTTCAATGACCCACAGAAAAGATCACATCGGAAGAGAAAAGACCTGGTCTCCGCACACAAGTGGTTGGTCATGTGTGCAGCTTAGCCATCAGGTGCCTATATTTCCCTCACGAACCGATGCGGTGATGCGGGAGAGCTGGAGCCCGGTAGAGCAGAATCCTGATCTGGCACACCTAAGGAAACGGTAGCACGGTAGCACAAACCACTCACCTTCTAAAACCGGCATTGAACATTGACTGTTGGAATCGACAAAAAACACGAAACAACCGTTCTTGATTGATTCTAGTAGGCATTGAGCGACTACGGGGGGAAACTATATATATATATACACAGTATATATATATATATATCATATCTCTTATAGTGTGTTTGGCATTCCTTGGTGGCCCAAACCTAGATCGAGCATGTGAAAGCGGCGGCGGGGCTGAAGGTTGAGGTGGCGGGTGGCATAATGGTCGGCCATGACGTCCCTCGAGCCAGAAACCTTCCCAACAACCATATGACTTCAAAGACTCTGCGAAACACGGGGAGAATCCGCAGATTGGATTCAATTTTTGCCCTGATTTTTGATGTGCATGAATTGTTGCTTCCAAGCTGAAGCTTGAAACAACATACTTTGTCTCAGCATGATTGTACTTGCTGTTTCCATGCTTGAGCACGTCAAACAAGTCGTCCTTCTCGAAAGCCGCAGCGCCGCACCAGCGCCGCACGGAATTGCGCGACGTTTGACCTAATTGCACTTTTAAAAGCCATTTTTGATTTCAAGATGTTCGAATGCTTGGCTGAAGATTTGAAGCTTTAACAGGTTTGAAGAGTTGAATAGTTTGAAATTTGAAGCCTCGAGGAATGCCGGCTCTCTGAGAGTGATGCCGCAACGGACCTCCGAACTTTGTGGGAACGGTTTTTTTTTCCTCGGACCTCCTTGTGACCTCGAAGGATGCCCGTCCGCCGTCGCCGTCAACAAGAGCTCTGCTGCGCCGGCGGTCGGGTCGCTTTCGGCCGAGGGGGACGGACACGTGGGGCGACGAGTGTGGGGACGGACGCGCCAAAGTGGCAGGGAGCGGCTGCTCAAGCCTTTGGCCACCGAGTTGCTTCACGAAGCGGCCTTGCAAAGTCAACAAGGCCTCCCGCAGCAAGAGGCGTGGCTTCAGGACCCGAAATGGAAGAAAAAAACGCTGGCTGAGGGGTACCGTGTTTGGTCTCGTGGTTGGATCCGGGTAGTGGTTCGCTTCCATCCAACGACCAATATCGAAGATTTGGGAGTTCTTGTCCAAGGGAACTCCAATGGTGCTTCTCAAAACGTTCAAAACGCATGAACGTTTCGGTGGGATGGCTTTCAGCTCAGTTCCCTTTTTTGTTTGAGATGTTTGGTCCCCCAAGCTTGGGCTTCGGCCATGTCATCCCACATGACGATGGTGCGAGGACTTCCAGCAGCAATGGATGGCTTCTGGGCAACCGCAAGGCCAGACCTCTGGGATGGCTGACTCGTCGAAACGCGCACGCCCAGCATCAACTGCGTGGATGGCCGCTGCAGGTCCCTGGAAAGTTTTTGAATTTTGGCATGAAACACCCAGGAGGTTGACCCCTTTTCAAGGGACATGCTGTTTCTGCCTACTTGCTGCAGTCAGTTTGACCATGTCTTTGGGCGACCTCACCCAAACCACCTGCCGTCGGCGGTTACGGGGCCCGTCGGGGCCTGTGAGGTCCTGAGCCGGAACCGCATGGCCGTGCGCGCTCCTTTCGAGTGCTTCTGTCCGTGCTGAGACAACTGAAGCTTGGAGAAAGTCCGACCCCCCTTAAGGGCTTGGTGAAGCCTTGCAATGGGGAGGTAGGGACCTCGGTCTTGGGCCCGACGACGTTGCACGCCTCCACGGTCGAGGCCAAACGGGTAGGGAGAAACCGGTGGTTTCAGATCCGCGAAACGGGCAGCATGTCCTCAGGAAAGGAAAGAGCGACATGCCGGGCAAGGATGAGGCGATCTTCGGGATCTGGATGTTGACAACACATCGAAAGAGACACCACTATAGTCACTATGGACCAATTGATTGGAGGATCGTGACCAGATGCTAACGAGACGTGCCATCCGATGCTGCGAGAAGTGCACTGAATGTGCACTTGCACTGCCCTTTTGCGACATGGGTCGTCTACTTCGACGAGGGGGGGACCATCAGATGTGTATTTGCCCTTCCGTCAAAGAGTGTATGAAACACAGTCACAGAGTGTGGATTACTTTGTGGATGAATCCGCAGACCTCCAAAGCATTTTCAACCCGGTCCTTCTGAACTCCCTTTTTCCAAGTACCTTTTGAGATCCCAGAATGAGGTCACTTAGGCCTTGAAAAGGTCACTTACCAATCCTGAAGAGGTCACTGAGAAGGTCCTGGTTATTTTTTTCTTTTTTTTCATTTTTGTTGTCTGGAAGGCGGAGACCGATGAGGGCGTCCGATACGTGCCCGGCGGCATCATCTACCTGGGCAAGATGAGCCGGGTGAAGTGTCACGTGTCCAGGCCCAGCGCATCGCCCATCGATCCTGAGGAGCCGATGCCGCGCCAGGGAAAGGTCGGGAATGCCCTATATCCCTATCCCTACATGGCCGTCTTTGGCCCATGGTTCCTATTGTCCATGAACAGTATTATTATTCAAATCAATTTGAAACATTTTCTTCAAGGCTTCCAGACTTTCTTGCTCACTATATAGCCCTTCTGATTTTCTTCAAGGCAGTTCCAAAACGGAATTCCCTGCTCCACGCGTTCCCAACAAGCACACAGCCTTCTTGCGAGGAGAGCCTCTACCTGATCCCAACGATGTTCACACTGCTCCTCGTGCGCCCAGACTCGAGCAAGGCTTGGGGGGGGAGTCCCGGTGGACCTCGGTGGCCTCAGGGTCTCGTGGACGTCCGTCCTGGCCAGTCGACTGGGAGGTCTTCTACGGCGAGGTGGTGATTTCGGAGCCCTTGCGGCTGGTGAAGCTGAAGGAAGGCCACAAACCTCGTGGGTGCTGACGGGAGCGAACGTGGCTATGTGTCTTGTGTCTTGTGCGGTGGAACGAAGGTGAAAACCAACCACTGTCTCAAGACCGGGAGTCGGTCCGTTTTCTTTTGGAGTCCCCTTGCGGGTACCACCCGCAACCGGCCTTGACAGAAGCGTCCGCTTCTCTCCGGCAGGGGGTCTCTGGGACGCGCGAGAGCTCAATCCGTTCGGGCGCAGATCCACGAATTCTGCCCATCATCGTTCTTCCAGTAGACCGTATACCCTCCCAACAGGTCTCCTCTGGAGGCTTTTGCTGACCTGTTGGAGGGTACTGGTCCGTTGCCTCACAAGACCTATCCGGCTTTGGAACGAAAAGCCTCAGCCGTCGACCACATGTTTGAGGTCGAGCCTTCGGAAGGGCCGTAGACTCCAAGCCAACGGGGCGCCCCACGAATCCCGGGGGGAGGGTCTTAGCGTACACCATCACATTCATTATATGTACATTGGGGCAAGGGAAAACATAGGATAGACAAGCAGAGAAACTCTACACCGATGCATGCAGGAAAAAATCCAAGAGGGTTCTTCTTGATTGTAGAGTGCATCGCAGAAGTGGACCTCCAAATCCAAAGCAGTTCACTGTTTCCTTTTTGCAAAGCAACTTTGCCGCCTGGTAGATCTTAAGTCAACGTTCATCGCACGTACAAAGTCCAGCCCGGTTTGCATCAGGCATTGGTGGCGCCTCCCTTTGTGGGCAAGAACCATTGCGTGGGCCGAAGCGCAAGACACAACATTTTCTGGAAACAGGAAATGCATCAAATAGCACCCGGCCCCCGCTGCTTGTTTTAGAATAGGAATGCCGGCGAGCGAGAGATCAAGGCTCAAAAGCGACACTGCCCGTAGCAAGCCCTGTAGAAAGTAAGCCAGCGCTCAAGGGTACCACAGTTGCCTTGATAAAGTCCTGAATGAAGGCATACCACGAAGCACTTCAAACTCCCTGTGACAGGACGAGCCAATCAGGTTGCGAAGCCGTACAGACACCGTGAGACAGTTATGCATGTTGATAGCCTTTCAACTTATAGCAAAGCATACTCCATCTTCTGCCAAGTCCAGGTCTACAAGCGACAATGAGACCACTTTGTACACTCGCAAACAGAATTCCAAGCAAGTGTAAGTAGGGCCTCCAGCAAACGTGTAAAAGGCAGAACATCATCTTCAACCTAATCAATGAGTATGCTGAATCTGCTGCAGCGAAGGGTGCAAGGTGCGGTTCATGTGCAAAGGGAAGGGCCCACTAAGCGCCATCATGAAGGGCGTTTGAGCACAGCACCTAGGTGGGAGACTCTCCCCAAAACCATCTCCCACATACAGGCAACCATCACCTCCCTTGGCCTTGGGAGGTGGACGCTTGCTCCTCAATGGCTCCTGTGGGGCCCTTTCGACTTGGCATGTTTGGTTTTAAAACACCACCGACGCACAAGAAGCCAAGCCGTTTTTTGGCGCAACATTTCCCCATCAATGCATTATTTTTGGGTTGCTTGCGCCTTTGGCATATTGCCTGTAGCTGCCATGCTACGAACGAATTAAATCTTCCCCAATCAACGAACCAAATGATCTCCGCTCCAGGTGACGAGAATTGCCCTGGACATGCGCTGCGCATCGAGGCAGAGAAAGGGACGGAGGGTGACCCGACGCCCAGGCTCTGCACTTCGGCTAGGCACTTTGAAAAGAGCCAGCTGGTGGTTTTGACAGGCTAGCCTGGTTGAAAAAGAATAGCCCGATATGAATGGCACTTTTCTGAAGGCTGGGGGTCGGGGTGTAGTTGTACAAACCACTCAGATACAATACAAATGAGATCAATTGAGACAATGCATGCAAGTGCAAGTTCTTTTTGTCGGCATATTGTTGGGAGCGAAGTGAAGCGCATGTCATTTACTGCTGCGACATGTTGCTTGGCTCCTCGCAATATTTATAATCGATCATCAATCAACTGGTGAGCGTTGCACATCGACTTCAGCCCCTCCTATTTGAAGAAAGGGGCCCTTGTGGCTTTCGCAGTCTGGTCTTCTTGCGCAACGTCGCCGGTCGTGCGACCGAAGCACCGAAGAGTCCGGTGTGGGCCCCCCCCTTGGCCTGGTCTTGGGGCGATTGAGAGCACGAAGAGGCTGAAATGGTGATCTGAGAGAACCCATGATCACTCACTAGGATGAGATCACGGTCTGTCCAAGAATGCTCTGAATGGCACATTTCGCTCTTACGTGTTGGGCAGCCGTCATAACCATGTGAGCATCATCGTGAGAGCATGTTTGCCCATCACCTGCCACATTCCTCTCATCTCAGAATTTCCTCGGACCCTGACGTCAGATCAGGTGCTGGCGCCCAGATCACCGCTGATGAACCATGCGTCAGGCCAGGCCGGAACGGCGTGGAAGTTGCCCACCCAGAGGATCATGGACACTCAAACTGAGACATTTTGAGGTCCAAAACCCTAGTTGGGAGGGTCCAATGAGCTTCTGGGCAGTGTATTTTTTGGGTTGCTGGCGACAGAGCATCAGCGTGCAAGAGCTGTGTAACTGCATAGCCTTCTTCACACTTCTTAGGCAATCCTGCAGCTACCCTTCTGGTCGGGTTTTGGGATCCCACCTGTTTGCTTTTGATTCGAGACTTGAAGATGAAAGTGCAGGAGTGAGCGAGTCCGCCTGAAAAAGCTTGTTGCTTCCTTGGAAACTGGAGCTACCTGTGTTGTAGTTGTGCTTAGTTGCCACCAGTGAATGGAATGTGCAGTCCCTCAAAACTTAAAACTAGTGGTATTTTGTGGATTGTACGATTCCAAACAGACACTGTCGTCCGACATCACCTTCCAAACCCTAAACCGTAGATGCTAATTAGGTTCCTGCACTGACTTTCGATTTGTAGTTTGTGACTCTTTCAGCCGCTTAAACCAATTGTTGCAAGAAACATGTCCCAGTTCTGGTGCCGTTTGTGAAATCAGCCGAGTCGTGGTGGCCAACAGTAGCCTCCTGTATCCATGGCTGAGAGAGGGCTCTCCAAGGCCCCACAGAAGAAAAGGCAAAAAGTACAAGGTTCCCGAACCGAACCCCGCGGGGGGGTTTCGTTGTTTCATGGATTCACGCAGAATGCGTAGGTGATCCTCGTGGATACCCAGACACCTCAAGGAGAGCCTCATGTCGTGGGAAGGGGCAACATCATGCCAAACGTGGGAACATATTTAGATAATATTGGTATAGTGGTTGTCTTGATTTGATGATCAGGCTGCTGCTGCTGCTGCTGAGGAGGAGGATGAGGAGGAGGAGGAGGAGGAGGAAGACGACAATGATGATGATGATGATGATGATGAGGACGACGATGATGAGGACGACGATCATGACGACGACGACGACGACGACGACGACGACGAGTTTGTTTGATAGAAAGACAGAGTCACGAAGGGAGACACACGAGGTGGTTGAAAACAACATGACAACGCATGGATTCCCTCTCAGTCCAATGGATTCACCGTTTCTGCTTAGGACTTTTGATGAACCATACTATTTACCGTTTCCAGTTGGAACGATCAGAGATCAATTTAGTTGCGCCCAAGTTTCTGAAGCACAGTGGCGTCTTTGCAGAACTAGCCCAGCAGGCTTGGCCTCAAGAGAATAGGGGCTGAACATGTGCCTGGAGTGATTGACGAGGGGCTTCTCGACCCAACTTGGGCGGCAAGAGTGATTGGAATGCTTGACCCAAAGTGATTTCATCATGTTGCGAAGGGGATTCTCTGCCTCTGGGCCATTTGCTTCCTGCTGCGGCGAGGACTTTCTCAGGCCAGGACTTTGAGGCTGTGCGGCACGGCCCGTCCGTGCGCAAGGACGGCGGTGTCGCGACACGTCGAGCGGTCCGTCTTCGGCTGACCTCGGACCGCGCGGCTCCGCGCGTGGCTCCGCGCGAGGAGGGGCCGGTGGAGCTGGTGCTCACGTTTGCCGACGAGACGCGCCGGAGAGTGGCTTCGAAGGTCATCACACAGGTGGGTATTTGGTGCTTCAAGAAGCTACTAGGAACAAAGAGCATCGCTACTAGGAGCAAGAAACAGCTATATATTGTGGCTCCTGGCCTTACTACTAGTAACAAGAAACTACTAGGAACAAAGAGGGCTGAGCCAAGTGAAATTGATGGAGATGGACGGGTGTGAAGGGCAAGGGGGGGTGGATTCTTGGCTGGGAATGTGAGCATGTTGTTTACTTTTGGGTGTGGCAGATCAAATGGGGTTCCCCAATCTGAAAATGTACAGAACCGAAGAAAATAGTGGGGTACCCAACCTGGTGAGCGCGCGGTCGGTCAACCTTTTACAACATGACTCACTGCAGTGTGGTGAGTTTGGTGAGTGAAATGACCAACAAATGGGGTTGTTGTTCCAAGGTAAAGCCAGGTTCCGCAAAACCTTGTCTTGAAGTTTCTAGTCAAAAGAGTTGCAAGGCATCACCAAAGTTGTAGATTTTTCAACGTGCCGGTTTTGGACTCTCGGAGAGGTAAGATACTGGGCAACATTTCACGATATGTTCTTGATCATCCACCATATATACGTCTAAATCAAACGGCAGTTTCTTCGTCTGACGAAGTTCCTGGATCATATCCATGACAGACCTGGCGCTCCCCGCCTGCCTCTCTGATGGGCGCAGGGGGCGCAAGCAGTTCAGGTGAAAATGGTGATTCAAAGCCACAGGTGTCATGAAAAGGCCTGGAGTTGCCAGTGATGGTCCTTCATCTCTTTCTAGAACTTTCAACACAACCACAACCACGACCACAACCACGACACAACAACAAAAACGTGAAGGATGGGTCCCAGCCCCACCATCCCGGTGATCTGCCAGCGACCCATCGGGCCGTGGCACTCAGACAGGATCTCCTTGGTGGATTTAGGGTCACCTGTGGATAGATCGGCCAGGATGTTTCGTTGAGAGGCACTAGTTTTTGAACTCTCCAGATGACCTGTGCAACCTCTGCACACATGGCGTCTCCACCCGTGCAAAAAAAAGGCACTAGTTTTTGAACTCTCCGTTTTTGAACTCTTGACATGGGTGCTTTTGTTCCTTTTGGGTTCGGAATTCGATCCAGTCTTTGCTGCCTTCTTTCTGCAGGCACAATACAATGTCTGCCAGCGCTTCTTCGATGGCGTCCTCAAGTTCTTAACTTCCGTGAAGAATGGAACCGCCTGACGTCCGCACTGAGCGGAGAACCCTCGCCGCCATCCTGCATCGCTCGCGCTTTTTCCGGTCCAGAGAATCGGACCGCGACCTGCTCTGACGCTCTCCAAAGAGAGGGTTCGCCCGACCTGCTCGGACGGGTGGTTCGGAGCCGGACGTCGTGTGGCTAGAAGGACCGGCCAAAGAGACCAGGATTGGCCGGCCCAAGCGACGGTTCGTGGGGGAGTCGGTTTTTTTTAGAGGGATATCCATGACAGGTCAATTTCTCAGGTGACGAGAATATAGCTCAAAGCATTAGTCATATTAACATGACTCGTGTGACATGTGTTTTTGTCACCCCAATGCGATGGAAACGCAGCTAAGCACGAACTCCAAACCGCGTGGTTTCACCGGTTTACCCCCCCTTTTTTTTTCTCCGCCTGTTTTCCACTCCCTGGAAGCGTTTGATTTCCGAGATCGGACGGATCCGACGTGTGGTCTTTTTGTTGCGAAAGCGGCCAGGAGAAAAAGCTTCTCCAAAAGCAACTGCAGAAAGCTCGTTGGAGCACCTGGATCCATTTTTTGGGCCGGTGCTGGTTGAGTTGGTGAAGGATTCTTTTGGTCATAGAGATGGATGATGAATCAGCCTCACATGAGGGCATCCATCCTGTTTGGCTGGGGGGGTAGATGTGCGTGGCGTCAACGCAGATCAAGCTCAGCTATCAGACTCTTTTCCAGGTGTGTCTCGTTTTTCGTCCCACCGGCTTGGTGTCGAGGGTGTTTCGAGTCTGACTATCAGTGACCAAGAGGAAGACAGGATTCCCTTCCAAGTAGGCTGTGTGGGGTGACTTGTGATCTGTGACCATAAACCATATTTCTCAGTACGGGGATTATGGGGTGGGAGCTTGTGTGAAGAATCTAACTCGGTACCTTCCAAGTTCCTCAGGTCATTCCCAGCTTCGTCCGCTTCACACAGGTCCCAAACCAACGGGTCAGTCCTGGCCCAGGTCAGCAGTTGAAGTTGATGACCCGTTACTGCGAGGATTTGGAGGACCGGCCCAGGAACGAACACCAACGGTCGAAGAGACGGAAGATGGCCACTTCAGGAAGACCTTTCTCCGTCACACCGGACAAGCCAAAGCCTTCCCAAACCGTTTCTTTTTTTTTTTTTCGGATGGGGTTTTGCAGGAGGAGGTGGATGCGTCACATGCGTCCGAGAAGAAGCTGAAGGCGAGGTGAAGGGTGGCTCAAAAAAGAGAGAAGATAAGATTCTCAGATCCGCGAGGTTTCATCTTTTTTGCGGGGGCTAGACGGTCTAGTGACAGCACCAGCTAAGATGGTGCCATATGGTGCCACTACCGGACTCAGAGACACAACTCGCGCTAGTCTTGTTCGGGGCGTTTTGACAAACCATTTGTTCATGGCCCTGTCGTCGGACCGAGACCGACTTTCTCTTTTCGTACCTTCGTCCCTGCTTGGAAAGCAGGTTGGATCGTCAGCTTGTTGCCAAAAGTCTTATACTGTAGTACATTTTCCTATTACTCTACCGTTGATGGAAGAGACCCTCTGGTGGATACCCCCAAATGCGGACACTTCATACTTGGTGCAGTGCCGCTTTTGTCCCTCCACCGTCTTGCCAAACCATCCACCTTCCTGCTCCGACGCTTTTGCGCAGAAAACGGGCCAGGCCGAGCAAAAGGAATGGCGTGCTCGAACGAAGGAGTGTGGTGAGGTGGCGAGATCATCTGTGTCTCCGTCACGGCCTCCCAGAGTGAACGGTCATGGCGCAGTGAGGCGCTGGTCATGGCGCATGTCATTGGGTCATGACATGCGCCAACCCTGGTTGACCAGAGACACCGAACGGAAGAAGAACAAGCTGACTAGTCGGTCAACCTGCCAGGGTTGACGGCGCTGACTTTTTTGACCCAGAACCATTTTTTGGGTAGATAGTAGATGGGACCATTCGTTGTCTTTGGACTGATGTCTCTAAGAGAGTTGACATCAGGTTTTGTAGCTCCCAGAAGTTGACGTTCAGAGTTTTCACACCCAACATTGAGCCATGCTCTCAGCGTGGCGATGCAGGAGCTGAATGATCTTCTACTCCGAATGCAAGAGGTCGCTGGGGAAGCTGCCACAGAGGAGGAGGTGCGTTCGGTTCTTCGGTTTCGCCGCGGTTGACCGCTCCTTCCTCATGCAAGTGGGACACGGTCAACCGCTCTCTCCCACCGAGTGGGAGCATCGAAGCTGAGGCCCAAATATTCGCTGGGTGGTTCTCCCAAGTCTGTGGAAATAGTTGCAATGATTCAAAAAGCCAAAGGCCTGCACCCAAACACATGATTTTGGGCCAGGCTTTTGGCTCGGTGTCGTACCCGGCACCATGAGTGAACACGTCGCTTTTTCCGGTTGACACCGGTGACGAATCGACGCAAAGCAAGGCCCAAGGCCCAAGGCCGGCGAAAACACCTGGTAAACAGCCAGGTGCTGATTCCTATTTTTCCAATGGCGAAGCAAATCTGGATGCTGGCAGATGGAGGGCCAAATGGCCAAATGCTTGGTGATTTTAGCAGGTTAAGGACGACAGCTGTTTGTCAATAGTCAAGGGCTGATCGATAATGCTGGCGAAGAGCATTTGGATGCTCGCAGATGCTTGAGGGCCGACGCTTGGTGATGTTAGCAGCCGGTTTCGATAACATCAAAACTCGCTGAAAACATCGAGCCTGAATCAAGGAGCACTTGAGCAAACCATTCAATCTGTACACTTACACCTGCCTGTACCATGGTTGCATTCGAGTGGTTGATTCCCTCTTCCAGGGGACATGTCTTGGGCTTCGACTGCAATCACCCGACCTTTTCGAAGATGGGTCCACTGCATCCGTGAAGGTCCACTGCATCCGTACGGCTAGTCCGGATGAATGGGATGTCCGGCGTTTTTTTCAAAGAGAGGCCGGAAAGGTCCGACACCTGCCAGGTGGGTGACCCGTGGAATGGCGCAGCCGGATCTTTTTTTGAGAGGGATGATGGTGGAAATAGCGAAAGCACCTGCTCGAAGCTATCGTTTTCATCAGCCCTCGCTGCAATGTGCTTCTTATGAGCATGTTTCACTGTCGAAGGCACTATTGGAGTTTGGCTGCCTTTGCTAGAGCTGCCCTGCAATGCTAGAGATGCCGCTTCACTTGAAGCTTGACGCGCGAAGAATGGCTCTCGGGTGTCATCCACGAGTAAACCTTCGTCCAGTGAACAACATGGTCTGAAGACCGTGTCCAGACTGTCCACAAAGAAATACGAACGAACCACGAAGACACGGTAGTTCTTCGTGGTTCGTGAGTATGTCTGACTGCGGACGGTCGTCGGACGTCGTTTGGACAACGACGCAGCGACCGGAGGCGAACGCGATGACCAAACACCATTCCTGGAAGCGAAGCGAGTACCAGACCAGACTCGTTACCAGGACTAGCGAGTAGAAATCCGTTTGTTGCACTTGTGTAGTAGTAGGACTGTAGGACTGTTTGAGATAGAAACCCTAAACCCTACCAGCGTGGTGTTCTTTGCGTCGTCGAAGATCCACCAAGTTTGGACGGAAGCAGCGCATGCGCGGCATGCACCTGGGCACCCCTGAACACCTATAGATCAAGAGAGCGAACATGGGACCCTACAGGGGTACATATATCATGTCATAGAGTTGTTCTATTTGTGGTAGTACAGCACTTTCTCTATTTTTCTCTTCATTATATAAAAACTAACATTGATAATCACTCCGAAAGTCTGACTCTGAGATGCTGTCACCCTTTTCTTCCTCCCTTTTTTCCTCATCCCGGTCGCCACCTCTGGTGTCGCGTTTTCGCAGGCTCCTCAGGCTCCGACGGTCTTCGAAACGTTTATGGATGCGCAGGCCACCGGTCGTCACCGGAGTGCACCGCTTCGCCACGGACAGAGTCGTCGTCACTTGTTGAGGGACGGAGTGGAGAAATGGTGGAAAAACACGACCCTCTGCTGAAAGAAACAAACTGGAAGGTTTGTAGACTTAGCGCTTTCTGCCACAATGACTATTCGATCCGCGCGAAACATTTACCTTTCACTTCGACTCGAGCCCCAAAACGCCATCTTTGATCCCACCCGCCTTTTCCAGCATCTTTCCTCTCCGCGCTGTCCGGTGTGCGTCTCGCTATGCCCCCAGCGTCACCCGACGTGTTTTCCGGGGTTGCGTAGCTGCGGTGACCGACGTGCGGTGACCGACGTGCGGCGACCGAGTTCCGGCGACGGCAGGTCTTGGAGTCGGGGCTCATTCCGGTCAGCAGCATGACCTTGGAGGAGCGGTGGCAAGCGGAGACCAGCGAGAACGGGACCCACGGGACCAACGGGAGCCTGGTATCCGAAGCTGATGCGTTGAACGCAGATTTGCACGGATGAATTGGAGGGGGCAGGTGAGCTCAGCAGCTATGAGAGGTATTGGAATTCCTTATAGGAAGGCGACCGGAAGGTTGGTCATACTTCAATAGAATAAGATTTTGTGAAACCAGCTTTTGTTTTTGCCAGCTCGTAGCTGACTCTGATTTAAAGCAAAGAGCATTTGGCAGACGAATCGACGAACCTTGTTATCAGTTTAATCACCCGAGACCGTGGTTCACTGGTTTTGTGTTCATGAAGCGCTCGCCGTTTCTTTTCTCCCTCGGACGGAAAGTACGGCGGTCCGGTCCACCGGCCTGCTCCGGCGCTACGCGCCTCGGTTCCTCGGTTTCGGGGACGTCCCCCCGAGACGTGCCGCCGCGGGTCGTTGCACTCGTTTCACCTGAAGCTGAAGCTCGGCTCGTTTCGCCGAAGGAGTTGCAGGAAGAATGCGTGGTGCCCGGATGCCTGGAGTTCTTGGAAGCTGCGCCGATGGGCGCCAGCGGATGTTGGGAAACAACGGAAGAGGTGTCTACTTGGACCAAGCTGGACGAGTTGACAGCGCCGATGTGTGGAGGAATCCCTGAAGCGCAGCAAATCAACTCTTGGAACTGACGATTTCAGTGTGGGAGCTTGCATCTCTCGGGGTGCACCTGAGCAGAAACGGGTCCTTCTTTTTACGCTCCTGAGTTCCACGGAAGATGACAGGCATGAATCAACCATGTTTGCAAGCCCGATAGACATAGAAACCACACCCTTCTAGATTCTAGATGAGTTCATTCGTTACACCCATGTTTGGTTATGGCCCACTAGTCACGAAAACACTGCTGGCAGAAGAACTCATCTTCCACAACTTGCATAATCTTTGGAACCTCACGATAACTTTCATGTCCCTTGAACATCCTGGTGTATATAAGAATAAATGTTTTCATTTTTCATCAGTTGAACCAAGACTTCCCTTCTGACAGAAGGGGTACTGTACTTGATTCATGAGAGCCGAAAAGTCCGTGTTTCGGTGTGCTCAATGGACGTACGAAGCACGGTACTACGGTACCGGACCCACCGAGGCGTGGCCTGTCCACCAAGGGCGGCCTCGCCGCCGTGCGGGGACGCGTGCGCGTGGCGCGCGCCAAAGAGGACCAGCAGAAGTGACGAAAAGGTGGTGCGGAGCGTTGCAGTGGTGCTTACGAAGCACCGGAGCGTAGGGCTGGGTGTGGTGCTTCTGTTTCACAGAAAATGCTGCCTTTTATACCGCGATAGCACACAGGAAGGTTCACCAGCAGTGACTCTTCTTCCGTTGTGACTTGATCGAAATCAAACCACTCACAGGACCAAAACCCGTGCCTTGGCTCAAGTGGGGCGACCGTGCTGCCCGCGCGCAGCTGCCCGCTTCGCCCGGGGGACCGAGACGGGGCCTGAACAGATGAACAGTCCGTGCACTAGGAGGGGACTAGAATGGGTCATGATATTTGATCATTTGCAAAGGCAAATCCGAGGGGAACTTGGGGAACCTTCTTTTTTTTGACTCAATGGTGTTGGTATACCAAATTCCGGGTTTCATGGCAGGGTTTCATGATGTCCTGCAAATCAGGACCGGAACGAATCCCTTCATCCACTGTGGCCTGAGAACTAAGAAGGGTGAAGACCATAGACTCCTTGAAAGAATCATTAGTGGATGGCACCACCTGTTGATAGAGGATAAGAATCCGAACATCGTGACCATGCCATCCATTGGGGCCGTGTCGGCATGGGCAGTGTTCCATCCCTGCAACCTCCCAGCTGTTCGCGCTCGGTGGCTTCCCGGGCCCCATGAGCTCGTCAGAGGATATACTTTCATGTTCTTTGTTCTCTGAAAATTCTCTGGTGAAAATCCGGATTAAACAGTACTTGCCGTACTCGGTCCTTGTGTGGGCATCCTTGCATTTGCTTCCTGCTTCAAAGCATTGCACGTGGTGCCGTAATCTGCGCACAGCTTGCGCTTTCAACCAACTTCTGGAACATTTGGACACGTTCTGCGGCATTTGGAAGGGACCTCATCACTAATGGGTGAAAACGCCTGCTGTCCTTTGGGTATGTCATGGGGTTGATGTCTCGTCCTTTTTTTTCCTCTGCAGCCGCCCATCTCTCAAGAGCATTGCTGCCGGCTCAACGTGTCTGCTGCGCTAAGCCGCAGCGTGTGCAGCTGGTGCTGCGCATGGCGACGCCACCGGCAGCTATGTCGATACCCTATCCTTTGGAGACGGTGTCCAGTTTGGAGGTCAGTGAGCAGGAGGACCACAGCCTCGTCTTACAGGCGCGACGGAAGAACCCGCGCGACGGGGCACCGGGTCGAGGCTTCACCTCGGAAGGTCTTCCGCTGGACGTGGGCGGGGCTCCCATTGGGGTGGGTTGAGCGGAATCGGGGTTTCAAGCCAGGCTGACATGAGGTGGGTTTGCCATGCCTTCCACAGCGATGTGGCAAACAAAGTGAGGTTGGAAGTCGATTTGACCAACTGAAGTGTTCCTGCATAGCTTCGCACCACTTGGACCTTGCAGTCCTACCTTCCAGGGTTTTTGGTCGAACGGCCGCATCCTTCACGAACGACCGTCAGACCTTGAAGGACGCGCTGATGAGACTAGATCCAGAAGGAGGGGAGATAGATAGACGGTCGGTGACTTGTGGAACGCACCATCACCCAGAGATCATGTTGGGTGAAATCAGGGCCCCCACATGCATGTTGTTTTTTGGGGTATATAGGTGCACGGCACGGTGTGGTACGTGCAACCTGTACGATACCTGCATGGGCAGAGGTGTGTCTGGAGTTCGAGAGTGCTCCTGCGTAAAACCAGTTCCCTGAAAAAAATCAAAACCATGGGTGGTAGTGTCTTCATTACTGTAATGTAAGGTACACGTTCAATAGTGAATCGAGTTGTGGAAGAATCAATATATATATATATATATATGTATATAATCTTTTTTGAAATCGTGCCTTCCCCAAAAGGGATGCCGCCTTGTCATCTAGAATCTAGAACCACTTGTTCATGCCCCAACTAGATTTGAGCATTACATTTATAACAGAACGGTGTTACTTTTCGCCAACTGATTTGAGATTAGATTATGCAATCCCCATACTCACGATTCACACGATATATATATATATATATAATTAATGATATTGTCATGCTGACACCAGAACCTCAACCTCGACCAAATTACAGTCATTTTCGTACATTTCTTTCAGGGTGACTCCTTTTCGGTGTGTTCCTTTTGACTTTCTTGCAATTGCGGTGCCCTTGCTTCATGAAGCCTACCGGATGGGAAGGGACCCCCTGGCGCCCCAACCTGCCGCCTTTTCGGGCTAAAAAATTGCAGTTTGGACTCCACCCTTCAAAATCCCTGGGTTGGCAGCCTGACATCCTCAAACTAAGAACCATTGAGGTCCTGCGCCTGCGCCGAAATCTGCACTTCGAGGTTCACAAAGTACTGCGCCTGCCGCGAAATCTGCACTTCGAGGTTCACCAAGTGCTGTGCCTGCCACGAAATCTGCACTTCGAGGTTCACCAAGTGCTGTGTCTGCAACGAAATCTGCACTTCGAGGCACTTCGAGGTTCACAAAGCGCTGTGCGAAATCTGCACTTCGAGGTTCACCAAGTGCAGTGCCTGCCACGAAATCTGCACTTCGAGGTTCACCAAGTGCTGTACCTGCCACGAAATCTGCACTTCGAGGTTCACCAAGTGCTGTGCCTGCCAAGAAATTTGCACTTTGAGGTTCACCAAGTGCTGCGTCTGCCACGAAATCTGCACCTCGAGGTTCACAAAGTGCTGTGCCTGTCAGGAAACTTCTCGTCACAAAGAGCTGCACCTGCCACGAAATCTGCACATCGAGGGTCACAGAGCGCTGTGCTTGCCACGAAATCTGCAAACGAGCCACATGTCCAAAAGTCACGATTCACTGCGCCTGTCACGAAATCTGAGCTCCTAAGTGCTGCACGTGTGACGAAAACTGCACTTCGAGGCAAAACGGCTCCGATCCCTTGCGCCTGTCACGAAAAGTCGACTTTGAAGCGCCAAAGCACGCGCTTTCCCTTGCGCCTGCCACGAAAAGTGACCACCATGTGCGAATGCGCGCGGCGCCACAACGAGAGCGCACGTGAGCCTGCGCAGTCGAAATGCACATTGACGATGTCGAGAGGCATGAATGTACTGTAAGTAGCAGCGAATTAGCCGGACACGCCCATCTAAGAAGATCTTCTGGGGCCTAAGAAGACGACCGGGAGAGGTTCGACTGACCTCCGCCGGACCCGGCGCGCAGGTGGGACGTTCGAGATCTTCGCCTCGCTGGCCGTGGCCCTCTTCTTGCCGGGGGTCTTGTGGACCAATGCATCCGCGACGACCGCTTGCGGCGTGGCAGAGTTCAATCTCCCACTAATTCGTACCTGGAATCTGGAAGCTGTGGAGTAGAGGCCACCTAAAGCACGGTTCTTCCCTATCAAAAAGACATCAACTACAGGTTCTGAGTGGTTATGGTCTTTGGCAGCAAAAAAGTAAAAAGTGTATGTGGTGCGCCGAGGCAACCGACTTCCATCTCTGGTGATGTTGTTGGAAGCGGAAGAGGAGGATGCGGAGTACATGGACTTGGCGATGTTTTTGCATATGAGCCCATTGGCCGGACTCACATGAGAATCGAAACACCTTTGGGAGAGCCAGAGACCTTGAAATACACTCCCCAAATCAAAGGTACCCCTGGCAGCACTGAAGACCCCAACTAACATATCCAAAACCTCTCCGGTGTTTCCTGGGGAATTGCATGTAACCTCTGCTTTGCGGTAGCTTCAAGAGAAGGTCCAAAAACACTGGCCTGGGGCAACCATCAATTTTGCAATTTTGGTCAACCACATGACCATGTTAGAGTTAGAGGGCTATATTAGTCATTGCGACTAAGACTTTACCATTCTGGAAGACTCAATGCCCATTTTGGAAGGCTATGTTAGTTTTTGCACGTGCCAAAAACAGAGTAACATGGCCGTGTCACAGGGCATGGGCCATGGAACTTTTCTCCATGCTTCTCCTAGTTGCTAACATATCCTCGTCCCGGTCCCACCACTTGTACCATTTCAGAGTCATGAAGCTCGTCAAGGTTCCCCGGCATCAACTTGACATGGCCGCTTTCCATGTTGGAGGATTTGCAACACGTCTTCCCCTGCGGACTGTTGCTAACATATCCTCCTCACAGACACCACTTGTGCCCTTTCAGCATCTGTCGACTAACGGTGACGAACGTTGTCAAAAAAGTAAACAATCCACTTTAGGGGGATACGTTTGATTCGGGGAGAGTAAATCTTGTCGAGGAAAGACGATCCAGCGGTGGACGGTTTTTTCCCAAATATCATGCGCAACCTGGAAAAAGTGTCACCAGAGTCATCTGGACGAGGTCCATGTGCTCGTCTGAACCAACAGGAAGCCATGCATAGCTGAGATTGGGAAGATGCAATTCGCAGGGTTGTGTATTACAAGTGCTCCAGATATACCAGCTGACTCTTATACACAAATTCATATATACCAGTACCAGTATATAATAGTATATATATCTCCCCTTCGGAGTCTCCGCCTCCCTCGGGACAGATGAATGGGAGCCAGATTAGACTTGAAGTGGTCAGCAGGGTGCAGCCCGTCATGGCTCCGGCGGGAAGTCCCTTCTGTTCCTTCGGCGGGCTGGTCGCCTGTTCGTCACACTGGTGACGAAAAGGGATGGAGATCATGACAGTACACGAAACTAACTCGGTGACGTGGGATAGCATGGGTTTGTTCCAAAAGGAAGATCCTCTTCCGAAAGCCGAGCAGGGCGTGAACTCCCTTCAGCCGGGGCAGCTCAGGCAGTCTTTTTGCGAGAGTCTTCTCCCATCAGGGCGATGTCCTTCCTTCCAGGGCAGCGGGGGCCGTTTTCGACTGAGGTGAATGCGGGTTCTTCATGTGGAACACCTGCGTTACACTGGTCTTGGTGCAAAAGTTGCAGGGCTTTCAGGTGTCTGTTTCTTTCCGGGCTTCCCGGCCTCCAAAGTGTTTTTAAATAGAGTTTGGGTTCAAGCCAACCAACCAACCAACTTTGGTCTCGACCAAAGTTCCAACCAACCAACCAACCAACCAACCAACCAACCAACCAACCAACCAACCAACCAACCCATCAATAGAGTTTGAGTTCAAGAAAGTTCCAACCAACTTTCGATCCTGCTTTGGTCTCGAGTCCCGTGCTTCAGCATCTCTCTCCGACCGACCCTGAGCCTGGCTGAATGGATCCAGAATCCACCGCCAGAGGCAGATACCCCAAGGCTTATCAAGGCTTCTCCATGCTTTTCCAGCTGGACCGCTGTGAAGCCAAGTTTTGGTGTTCCATCACTCGGGTGCTTTTGGAAGGTTTTGGAGTCTTCCGAACCCTTCCGAACGGGGTTTGGGCGCAAGAAGCCGCGTTTTTCTCGGTGCCGCCCGCGGGGTGCGCCACAGGGGGCGGAGAGAGGACGGTACCACAAAACACCACGGACTCGAATGGGTTCAGGACGGAATCGCCTTCCGGTTTTTCGTTGTCATCCACAAGAGTTCGGGGTCTGGTGGATTAGGGTTGATAGGGTTGCGGCGTCAGAGATGGTTGAACTCCACAATGCTAATTTGCCACAAGCGGCTTCCACGCCCAACCAGACACAGGTTTCTCCAGCCCGAACCACTTGGTATCTGGTGATTTGATCTGCACATTTGTTTGTTTCCGGTTTTCACGACAGGCCATTTTTTGGTGAGAGCTGGTTCAAAGCATCTCTCTCCACGAGCAGATCTGCCCCAAACACAAATGGTTCAACCCTTCAAACCGCACCCACAATCGGGTATGTCACCTAAGTGAAACGTCCCCATGTTGCAAGATGTTGCAACCGTTGAACGATCAACCTCCGACCTCGTCCCCGGCCCTTGCCCTCGATCGGCCACCGGCGCACCGCACACGATCGAGTCGATCGGCCAAGCGAGCCCAGCTGAGGTTTCTCTACTTCACCACGGCAGTGGCCGGCAGCATCGGATTTCAGCTCGGTGCCTTCTCCGGCACCTGGGCCTAGCAGAGCGCTGTGCTGCGCTCTGCTCGGTGAGGGATCGAAAGGCCGGCAAGGACCGTTCCGTTCCAAAGGACTGGGTTGGGAAAACAGTGGAGGATGAGGTCTCACGGTGTGACCATTTGCATGAAGCATGAGTCGCATGTTTGGATCGCTATTCTTTTTCTTCGGTGTATCAACAGGGCTTTCAGGCTATTCTTTGCCTCAGGACTTTCGGCGTTTTATAACAATTCTTTTTAGAACTCAACTTGTTTTCTTGTTCTTTTCTTCCTCAGGGCTGTGATTTTTGGCCTCGGCCTTCGAGCCCGAGCCTTCCCCCCCTCGACTCGTTCGAGCGAGGGACCCTCTTTTTTCTATAGTCCGGCCGGTTTGGAACCGGAATTGGAGGTTTCAAAAGCCTGGAGGACTTTCTGACTTGCATGTTCTCAATTTTTCAGTTTTGCGCTGGCGTTTCCGGAGCTATCGGTTTCACCGAGTTTCTTTCCGGGTTTGGAATCTGCCCTGAAATGCAGAGTCCAACTGGAGCTTGCTTTCGGCAAGAGCCGTTGGAGAAGTGGACGGATGACGGATGTGGGTCAAAATGCCGGGCCTCGTCACACGGGTCGACCGATGTGGGTCACCTCGTCACTTGACCGTCACCCACCGTCGCCGACCGTGCTGCGGTGAGTGTTGGCCCGCTTCGGGTTGGAGACCCGGATGTGCCGCTCCGTTCCTGTTGCATCCTGTTGCCGTCTTGGGCGCAAAAAAAGTACAGGACGGCGTTCGGACGGATCTAGAACGATTAGCTGCGACCCTTTGGGAGGGAGATTCAAGCAATATATATATATATATACTGTATACATAGATATCGAGAAACAGTCTAGGAACACAACAGATCTGGACATGCACATACATGATCAAGAATGAACCGATAAAGTAGAGGACAAACCACATTGCAAGTATGTGACATCCAGATGGATCCAATGAACATACCGCCACAACAGAGACACAGTGCAAGACGATGATCAGAACAGAAGCGAGCGGCATGTTTTCCGATGACATGTTGATATGTTTTCACATTATTTCATCTCACACATGCCACTCAGATCTGTTTTATTCCTCATTCTCTTCACAATACTTTATGAACTTTCGAGCTGGGCAGTGGCTCAGGGCACAATACTTGGAAAACTTTAGACTCTTTAGACCTTCCGTTCTTGGGCATACCATGACTTTCGTGCAGTTTTGAGCGGGCCAACGCAGGCGGGGTTAGCTCCGCCGCCGGAGCTCCAGGGCCAGGCGTTTTCATTTGAAGCAGTGGCCGCTTCCTTGAAGTCCTGTGGCCGAACATCAGCTTGGAACAAACCCACAGCTGTGCTAGGCTTGAAAGCGAAGGGGAGCAAGGATGTGATTTTGCTGGGAAAGGTAGAATTGTATGGCAAGTTGAATATAGTTGAATCAGCTCCTGCCACAACTTGTGTCCAGAAGACAGAAATTGAATAGACCTGCACTCTGCCATTTTGCGGTACGCAGGCAGCCCGATGCTCCCCATGAAAAGGGCTTTTGGACCAATGGCCAAGAGAGATTGGACTTCAGATCTAGCAACTGCTGTGGTTCATCATCAGGGTAGATGTACTCCAACTATCTTAGCATCGTGAAAGTCCAGGTCAAGGTTTCTTCCAATGAAAGTGAGTTAGGACCGCTAGAACAACGAGCTGAACTGCATGCTAGATTCACTCCATGCACACCTTTTAAAACACAAATGCGCACGTTCAAAGGCGAGTTCAGATGTGCTCCAGCCCAGCATCGCCTATTCGCCGCATGGAGCCACTCCAGACAGGGAGTTTGTTTGAACCTTCGCCTGGCGGATCTTCCATCAGAACTTTTGACACAGCTGTTTGAACCGCTCTTTGTGTCTGTTTTCCCCGATGTTTGTGGTATCTAGATCAACCCCGGAGCGACCAGACCGCCATTCTAGGGCTTTGCCATTCTAAGACGGCCCAGAAGCTACGGAAATCCGTCGACCTGAGCCCAAGATGTTCGAGACAGTTTGCAAACCGACAGATCGCCTGTAATGCCCCGCTATGCTTGGGTCAGGACATTATCAGGATGTTAATTATGAGGCTGAGCCCGACCTCCTCGGACGGAAAGATGCAGGAAACGAGAACTTTTTGGTGACTCGCAAGTCTGAGGATTTGGTGAACAACGGTGAAAACAACGAGGCTTATCATCTGCTCTTTCACCAGCTTGCGAGCCGCCAAGTAAATATAGTGATTGTGATTATATCTGCACCGTGCAGTGAGACAAATGTGCTCCTCTGACCAAGACCGCGTGCCCGAGACTTTGTTGATACCAAACCAGGTCTAGTCATGCCAACGATAACCAAGTCTGACCAGTCATGCTGCAAGTTTGGTGGTCGAGAGTGACGACAGGTCGACGAGTCGAGTGTGCCTCATTTGCTTCTGCCATGGTCTGCATTCGCCGTTACCCCCGAAGATGAAAGCACGATATTCTTCTGATCATGACAAGGCATGATACCCTCCTGGAGTTGAAGATTTCTTCCTGCAACACATGAAATGAAGAGCAGTTTTTTATTCGAATTGCTTTGGTGGTTCCTGGTAGTTCAGGTTTTCTTCCATCAACAATACTAGGGATATGTTATTCTCGTGCTTGGCAAACACACATTGGTGAGAATGGACAACGCAGTCAACCACGTTGGAATACTGACTACACGGTTCCTTTGCATGCATCTCTTTGTGATTCTAGACCATTCCTGTGATTTGTTTCAATGCATCAACCTTGTGCCTTCAACCTTGGAATGACACTATTCATGGCTGAGGCGACCTTGTGCATCATTTTCTCCTTAAGTTTTCTCTCTGCAGCCGACTACTTTTCGAGAAAGGTGCCTGGCTTGCAGTTTCACGCCCTCACGCGGCGAGCCGCTGCGGCGTTCAGCGGCTGCCCCATGGCGGCGCCGCCGACAGCTATGGCAATACCCTACCCTTTGGAAACGGTGCCTAGCTTGGAGGTCAGCGAGGTGGAGGATTCCAGCATCGTCTTGCAGGCACGCGAGCCGTGAATCGGCGCATGGAGCCGCTATGGGTTGCCGAACGGAGCCGTTCTGAGTTGGAGGTTTGACCAAATCCTGCCATCTTGGCCGGAATGGGCAACTAAGTTTCCACAGTCAAATTTGGCCATTTTCGTTCAATGTGTGTTACTTTTTTATTGATAGATCGTTGAAGCACACACACACAAGCAAACACAACTGCGTTATTAGTGCATTCATTTAAATATGAATGAATGGGCCAAATCAGGTAGGTCACGAGTCACGAGGAACAAAGCGCTTTTGTGGCTTATCCCAGCTATGCAGGCCTTTTCAGGTTTTGATTCACATCCACCATGGTTTTTTGGAGGTCCGTGCCGCCTGTGCTCGAACACGTTTCCTCCAGGCCATCAAGGGACTCCATGATTCCCTCACCGCCCAACTCGACCAGTTGGATGCGAAAGTGCAGCGTTTGGCCGACGAGCGACCCGCGCATTTTCTTCGGCGACGATCTTCCACTCCAGCTCTACTGAAGTCGAAATCGCAGGCGCCTACGATTTTGAACGAAGGGTTGGACAATTTATTGCGTGGCAGAGGCTCTGATCATTTTGCCTCAAGGAGCATTTATGGGCCTGCAATGATTAATATATATATATATAAAGCTGGCTGGAGAGAAATCCTGAGCCTCTAATCACTAGCATGCATGATCTGTTGGTTATGTTGCAGTCAGCCACACCTTCTGCAGGCGCAGGCTGCGAGAGGAAAGGATGGCTTGGCGATGCAAGTGTCGCAGACGCTGGGTAGCGATGCGATGTTTTGGGTATGGAGGTCCGTTGTTTTGGAAGGGGTATTGAGGTCCATAAGGGCAGGGGAACAAAACCGTTTCTTCAGTCTATTCGATGCAAATCACCGCAAGGCCACGGACGGCTGCGGACGGCCACGGATGGCACATGGGGGATGAGCGAGCTGGAGCCCGAAACTGCGGGGTTTTGCTGGTCCAAGGGTTTTTGCACATTTGATCCACGGGGTAAAGAGGAGATTGCCAATGGTTTGCGGAACAACGTAATTATTCTTAGGATTTTAAACCAACCAATGGTGTCCACCAACTTGGTGTATTTGGAACAGGCTTTTCACACGAGCTGAGGATGGACATCTCGCACTCGGGTGCGCCCGTGTCATCTCGCAGCTTGAAGTCTTCGATGTCCTTGCGTGGAAGACTTGAGACCCATCACACGACTCGACCGGCGACTTCAGAGGGACCGATCGCAGAAAAGGTCAATGACTCTCAGCAGCGATTTCCTTCGATCATGTAGACTCTTGATTCATAAACTCTCCATATGAGGACGTTTTTCAATCCAAATGGGGGGTTAAACCGCAGCAAGGGGTAATGTAGAAGCGCATCAGACTCGCAAGTTCGCGCATCCAAATGGGGGGTTATGAAAATCTATACATTAGGTTGTTTGTTTTGTACTTTTTGTTGCCTCGCTGGCTGGCATGCTGACATGTTGTTCTGGCGGCAAAAAGGCAGCTACCGCTACCGTAAGCTTCGAGATCAGAACGTCTCCGAGCGGCTTCCGAGATCCCGTGTTAGGTAGAACATGCCCTTGGCATTGTGCCACACGCAACGCCGCTCGGTGCTGCTGAGCTCCCTGGTGCTGCGGAGGATGCTGCGCAGCTTGATGCTGCCGATGGGACGGGCACGAACCGAGAGGTGCTGGACACACTGACGGACAGCGTGGCCGTGGCAGGGCATGAGTTCACGGGCGCAGTGCAGCAAGACTCCACGGATGTGAAGGCAGAGAGTTTGGGTTGGTTTTTCACTTCGCAGTGTCGTATTCATAGTGACAATCAAGCTTTTGTTGCTGGTGCAAAGTACTTGATGTCTTGTCTTCGAATGCAGGTCTGTCCTGTGTTTCCAGAGGCGGAATACGATCTCTGGGTGCCTTTCTGGGAAGCCCTGAACCTCTCTCGCTCACCTCAGTTGGAGATCGTAAAGGTTAAAGCTCACTTAGACTTTGAAGAGCTTGAGGGTACGGCTCGTTATCGTGCCTACCATAACTTCACGGCTGATGAAGCTGCCGAGGCCGCCCTTCAGTTGTTTTCACCAGAGTTTCTTTCTCTCCACAATGCTGTCAGTGAACAATACTTTGCACTCAAGGAAATTGCCACTAAACTTGCAGAGTTTCACACCAGGTGTGCTTTATATAATCTTTCTCCAAAATAAGAAGGGCTCTCCTTCCAAAGAAGTTGGAACGTTGTGTTCTGACGACTTGCGTGTGTTGACAGTGGTTCGCCTACCCACTCTCGCGCCGTCGGGTGACTCACACTTGATGATTCCATCTACCTGGAAAAGCTTTGGCAGTGGATTCGTTGCTTGAAATGGAGTATATAGTAATGTTAAGTCTCCTCAGCTTTGCAACATTTCGTGGCTTGAGCTTGTTTGGAACTTTCGTAACTATTCTGGCCTTGATATCGGCTTGAGTGTTGGAGGTAAGAACAAATCCAGATCGGCCTATTGCGTAAGGAATGTTAAAGGTAATGAATTGGCCAAGCCTGCCCCTATCTTCGCTTAGATTCGTATGATGGCTAACACGGTTAGGACCTTTGAGAAGAACCTGGGATCGTCCGTGTTCCCTGCCGATCGCGTGGCCTTCTCGAGATCCCTGTAGGGTCTTGGCGCTTGTTTTCGCGCCTCTGGTATTGGGGCCAGGTGTGTTTTGAACATGCTGCGGTTTCCGCCTTCCAGGCTTTTCTTGCAAAGCATCCCGCTAAGGGACCACTTCGTAGTACTTACTTTCCCGGATTAATTAGCACTTTTGTTGATGCACACCCTCTTAGAGGCTGTTTCGACATTTTGGTTCGTGCATGCCTTGAAACCTTTTCGCTCGCTCATTTCGTTCGTAGTTTGCCGGTTGGTGTCTCACTGTGGTCAGGCATTAGTCCGGGCCTGCGATCGTGCAGCTTGAGGAGGAAAACACTGTTTACTGTTGGGGTTCTATCTTAGAAACAAAAGGGCTGGCCACACTCACTGGCCGCGCCCCTGAACTCTGTGGCCCGGCTCTGTGTCCGCGTCTTGTCCTCCTCTTGTCCTTGTCTTGGCCGCGCCCCTGAACTGTGTGGCCTGGCTCTGTGGCCGGGCTCTGTGTCCAGGTCTTGTCCTCCTCTTGTGCTCCTCTTGTCCGTCTCTTGTCCTCCTCTGGTCCTTCTCTTGGCCGCGCCCCTGAACTCTGTGGCCCGGCTCTGTGTCCGGGTCTTGTCCTCCTCTTCCCCCAACTTAGAAAACAAAGCTGGCCCCACACTGACTGGCCGCGCCCCTGAACTCTGTGGCCGGGCTCTGTGGCCACGCTCTGTGGCCGGGTCTTGTCCTCCTCTTGTCCCACTTGCCTCTTCTCTTATGGCCGCACAATTAGCGATGTCGATGCCGACAAGAATCATTGATAAAACAATTTGCTCTTGGGGAAGAAGATAGGACGTACCAAGAAATCATGTTTGACTAACATTGGTCGCAACGAATCGTTTTGAAACCTTTTGGGGTCTATGCGGGTATATATTTTTTGGCCGACCCCCCCCCCAGATCAGGTTCTTTGATGCTGTCACGCAAGTCCAGAAACTGGAAAATTGTTGACTGTACAAGTCCGTGAGCCACGAACTTGCCAACTTAGCTGCATTCTCTTCGATTTGTTTGGAAACTTGTCCAAAGTGGCGCTTTTCGTAGGCGTGGAAAACACACACCCGTATAACGTCCTTTTCTGTTATCTTTTTTTTTGGGGGGGTTCAAAAGAAAGTGCTGGCAGGAATCGACCACTTTCTCCAAGGACGAGGAGACGATACCACAACAGGACCCGCAACTTCCCGGCGGCTCGGGGGTTCGACGACGGTCGGTGCCTTCGCTATCACCGTCTCGGCGACGCAGCTCCGAAGGGGTTTGTCAAAGCCCCGTAATGCAAACTGGTGAGGAACAAATCCCCAGACATGGATGGTAAAGCTGCTTCAGGCTTGGGGGGTTGAAAGACGGATAGGACCGTTTTGTGCTGACTGTCCCTCCCGCCATCACTAGCCGTCTAGAGAGCTTGGTCCGGTGGGTGATCTTCGGCCCATAGGTTCTTGTTGCGAAGTTCTGATTCTAAATTCGGGTGCCCCAATAGACCCACCCACCATTTTCAGCCATGTCTCAGAGGTTTTTCAACCCAATTTTTTTGGGGTATTAATCAAAAGTCTACAGTCTACAGTCTACATTACACCTGGGAGTGGCGACTCACCTTTGCCATTGCCGTTCCGCTGGTGTTTTTGTTCCCCTTCTTTTTCGGGCGAAGAGACCAGGAGCCCAGCCGCACGCACCACGCCGCGCGTGCCCAGAATTCCTCTGGGAACCTGGGTGCTCCACCGAAGAAATCCCGCGACGCTGGGCGGTGAGGTTGAGACATCGAAGCCGTCCGTGTGAAGGGCAGAACAGAATCCATCGACGGTTTGAATTCCCGCGAACCGGAGGTTTTGGAGGACGAGTTTCGGGACAGCTTCCGAAGAAGGAAGCGCTGACTCGAGACTCCATGGGAAGCACACCAAACTCTTGGCTCAAACCAAACCAAGGGAAGCCAGGACTCAGGCGTTTGGTTGGGGGGTCACGCCCGCGAATAGTATGAGAGTACGAAGTCAGACTTCGTGTATGCCCCTCACCCATCCTTATCCCTCATCCCTGTTTAGAAGGTTTTGGATTTCCATCTTGAATTGTTGTTAATACTAATACTTTATGATTTTCAGAGGCTTGATGCTCACTCAGCTCCTTCCATTGGCCTCGGCTCAGGCTTGCTCGGTGAATAGTGTTGGCAGCCTCAGAGCCAGTAGGGGCTCCAGCGAGAGACTTGAGAAGGCTGTGAACAATGGAGCCTTCTTGGCATGATATGAAGAGAGTGGATACACGAACCGACCAATTCGTCACATGGATTAAAAGTGGATCCATCGACATCATGGCCACCATGACGGGATTCTCCACTTCCATGTCACGTGTTTGTCGGAGACCGGGTTTTGAGCAGGAAGACCACCAAACAAAGCCTTGCTCACCCGGTAAAGACTTTGGATTTCGATTTTTGTTGCAAGCTTCAAGTATGGAAGGGAGCTGCTGGGGAAGAAATGAAAGCTAGTCCTTCCTTGCCAATAGCTCCGATATGCACTAGAAGCTTTCATGTTTAAGTTAAACTTGGTATTTCCCCACCTGCCAGGTGAGGGTCTCTAGCTTTTATAAAATGTGCAACTCCTCGTCCTCATCCTCCCCATTGCTTCCCTCCTATCTGGATGTCACAGCGAGTGCCAGCTGTAGGAGCTCCAGATCAGTCTGGGAACACACGGACCAGAACACTATAGGGAGCTCAAGCTCCGTCTGGGCATGGACCTGAACACGAAAGGGAGCAGGACGGACCTGAACACCTCCAGCTCCGTTTGGGCACGCACGGACCGGAGCTGTAGCTTGGTCTGGGCGCGCAGGCGCCTGAGCACTTTAGGGAGCTTGAGCTCGGTCTGGGCACGCATGGACCTGGGCACGCGTGTGCCATTCCAGATGGAATGTCCGAATGTTTGCTGGAAGATTCCAGATAGAATGCCAGACAGAATGTCAGAAGTATGCCAGTTTAAAATTGACATCAAAGCGCAAGAAGATATGCCAGAAGGAATGTCAGAAGGGATGTCAGAAGATGTGCCAGATAGAATGCACGCCAGGTAGATATGCCAGAAAGAATGACGGAACATATCCCAGATAGAATGCCGGAAAGGGTATCATAATATTTGCCAGGTAGAATGCCAGAAAGGATGTCATAAGATATGCCACTTGCAATGTCGGAGAGATGCATTTGAGAATGCCTAAGTCATATGCCAGAATAGATGTCAGAACATATGTCATATCGGAACAAGTGGTGGGTTTGATAGGGAGCAAATGGGAATAACACATGGCAGAACACAAATCACAACCGAAGTCGCAACATATATGACAACACGTGCCATTTTGGTGGGAGAGCGTGTCAGAAGTACATGCCTGAAGATATGTCATGTCAGAAACAAGCCAACAAGGACGTCAGAACATATTCCTGAACATTTCCCAGGCTTTGTGCTAGATGGCGTGTCAGAACACATGCCATTTTTGATGCAAGAACAAGTGTTTGAACACTGCATCGGTGCACATGTCAGGCAGCGTTTGTCAGGCTCGTTTTGTCAATACATGTGCCCTGCCTTCTTCCAATCTGCCTCTGACGGTGCGGCTGCTCGAACTATAGTGTCTTTTTTGTGAGGACCGGTGCCCTTGGTCACCCTGGAGGTCAGTGGTGCCCCAGAAAGAAGACACGCGTGGCCGTTTTGGGCATTTCGTCACTCCGACGACCGTTGCCATTAGGAAATTTGTCCGAAGTCTTCAAGGTGCGAGAGGCAGAACTCACTGCGACTTTATCCAATCGCCGCTCTGATACACAATCGCCGGTGGAAGAAAGGTCCAAAGGCAGGACGGCCTCCAAGAGTGCCAATACCCTCCAAGAGATAACGAATGAGGATGCCGCTTCAGTCGAGGAGGAGGAGGAGGGGAGACTGGGAGGGATGGGCGTTTCTTTTTTTGATTTGTAGACTTGAGTGGGCGGGGCTATTGAGTGGGTCTATTCCTTGAGGTTTACAGGTTGTGTTTCCTTTTGATTTGGAGGGTTTAGGGATTAGTTGATCCACAACTGGTTGTCTACAAATGTCTAATTGCAGGAAACATTTTTGGAGATGCTGATCACAGGTAATGGTAATGGCTTTCTACTGAAGTGTATTTGCAGATGTCACCCCTGCGATTTGTTTGCAGATTTCGTCAGGTCTATGATTCAGACTCTTGGAGCTCGTGGTGGCTGAATCTTCATCGGCTTAACATTTTTGTGGCCTGCTACGCATCAAAGGCACTGGGACTTATTCCCTTATTCGAGATTGGCTTTGAGATGGACTGGAAAAGCCAGTGTCGCAGGTTAGTCTCACGTCTCTATCACTGGCTGCTGATCTTGTTCTTGCTTTGTGCTGTGGCTCGGCTTGCAATCCCTGTCATGGAGGTTTGTGTTTGAAGGTTTGCGCTCTTTCCTTTGACGCTGTTAGTTAAGCGATGTTAAGCGTGAGTACACAAAGGGTTCAGGGCAAATGCAAAAGCACAACTGCACTCTCCTGGAAGTTGAGAAGAACTGACGACAAGCGAGTAGATGCCACCGCATACCACCGCATATTCCCTGAGCATCGGAGTTGGAGTGAGCCACCACTCTTTGGTCGGTCCATTCCTCACACCCACTGAGCCAGACAATCTCCAGCAGCGCGACGATCGCCAGATGTTGAAAATGAAAAGACCCACCCGCCCTTGAAAAACCTATCCCACTGGGCGAAAGCTGTGTGCGGTTCACACCCAGAAGGTTCTTTTTGATACTCTAAACGGGTGTGATAATTGACGCTCGCACACCTGGTTTGCAGCTGACCCGAACACAGTTAAGAATCTAAGAAGAATATATTATATATATAATATATATCTATTTATATGTATAACACCTTTTGCCTGACTGAAGCATCTTCAGTTAAAGCTGTCGCGTGGGGTTTCATGTGAATGCACATTTGTGTAAAAGATGATTGCGCAGCTGGTGGCTGGCGTGTTTGCGGATAGCTGTTTCATGCGAGCTCACCATGGCCGTTGCAGGTGATCTACTCTGTGATGCGCTTTGGCCATTGCCGCATGAGAGAGGTTGTCTTGGATGGCGAGTTACATGCAGTGGCTTGGATCTAGAGCAAACATGGCCCTTTTTCAGGAACATGGATATGACTTGATATGAGATGATATGACGAAGTCACCTCAAAGGCTACCTGTCCAAGCAAGAGCAGGCCTTCTTCCACTTATGCAAGGAAAGCTTTTTAGGTGTCCGGTCGAAGGCCAAAGATCAAGCCAACCTAAGGAGGCCCACTGGCCGGCGCTGGCTGTGGACATTTTCCTGTTCCTGGGAGCTTCCATGGTCCTGAGCAGCTGGGGCGGTTTCAAGAGCTATCAGGACTCCAAATGAATGCTTTCATGACGAATGCTATCTGTTTGTTTCACAAAGTCTTTGTTTCTTTCGGCATTCGGTGTGTCAAGTAGGCTCTCCTCTTCGGGCGCGTCGTTGGTCGCTTCGCTCACCTTTTCGCCCACGTGGCCGTCCTCGGTCGTGGAAAACCGGGTGGACGGGCCGAACGGGGGTCAGGGACCCCTTCCAGGCCACGACAGAGCTGTTGGAGACCAGCTTGGGAGAGTTGACCTCCTATTGTCAACAGCATGGCTTGGCCACCGCCTGGAGAATTTGGAGCTGCTCCGATCCTGGGAGCTTTCGCAGTTTCGACGTCGGGTGGTTGTTTCAATGGGGGTGTGGCGAACAAATGGGGAGACCGGTCTGGAGAGGCTGGAAGAGCCCCTGGAAGAAGAAACATCGACTTGACCAAAACCCCTTGGTTTTGTGGTCTCCCTGTTAGTTTTGCACACCCCAGATGTCACTACTACCGTAAGACATACACTTAGAAGATATTTTGGAAACAACATCTTTTTTTGTTTCACAGGCGGGAAGTTCTAAGTGTATAGGTCGCGATGTTCTAAGAGTATGTGCCAGCAGATGTTCTAACCCTAGAGTAAGAACATCCCAGGCCCTCGCACCTACACTAAGAACATAGTCCAACACATACACTTAGACAATATTTTTAATGTGTTTGGGACATTGAGATGGAATAGTTGTGGAGCCTTAGAGCGATGGCCTCCAACCTAAGAGTGATGGCCTCCAACTCAAGAGCGATGGCCTCCAACCTAAGAGCGGTGGCATGTTTGGTGTGGTGCTGGAGACAGCGATATGTCCTAAGTGTGCTGTTGTCTCTTGTTCTAGGAGTGCTTGCGGTCCATGTTCTAAGTGTGCTTGCACTGGATGTTCTAAGCTCGACGTTCTAAGTAAAGGAATTTCCATTTTGGAAAACCATTGATGTTCTAAGTATAAGTCTGCAAGTATATATATATAGATGCCTCTCGTGTGCTACCCATTATCCGGCAAGGTCTGAACATATGTGTGTAGTATCCGGGAACCCTCCGGCAGATCCGGGGTCTTTTGAGCCACATCCTCCGCATATTTGCGGCATCTACTCTGAAAGCCTGAGAACGTAGCTGGTGAGTCCAATTTGGGAGTCTGCTAATCTTGGTAAACTGACTAGTATACTTAGTACAGTCTTTTCAACAAAATGACTGGTGACCTCCAATTGATAAGGTCTGGGATGGTCTGGGTCTCATTTCGTGGTTGGACCATCAACTATGGGGGTTCAGAGTCGATGGCCAAGCAGTTGTTGGGAGATGTGCTAATGTAGACTCTTGATTAACAACCCCTCCGTACGCAAAGGTTTTACAATCTAAATGGGGGGGTTCTTAGTCAACAGTCTGCATTATGTGCTCAAACATTATGAGGTCACGAGGCCCTTGGACAGCTGAGGTTGGAAAGACGAGCTAAGCACATTTAGTTTTTTGAATGCTGTTTCAAGATATACCCTCCCGGGGGGCCCTCCCGCCAACAAGCACGGAAGTGGACAATTTTCCCGGTTCGGAAGCAGGACACTGGTCTTTCCAGAACGCCATCCATGGCACCGGTCCTTGTTGGAGGGAGGGAAAAAATACACCAGGAAGGTCAACCTACCCTCGGTTTGGGGCTCTGGGTGCCATGATCCACAGCCATTTCACAGTCTCTTTGGGTGCAAAAGGTTGCTGAAGCTTTCGAAAGCCACCCGCGCCACCGTGACGGTTCCATCGCTGAGGATGCTGTTTGGGGGTTGCTACTCTGGTTTGCGCTCTTGCTTGGCCGCTTCGCGGTGTTCACTTGGAATGTGTGGCACGTGGGCGGATGTTGGTGGGGCAGCTTGCCCTTTGTTGCTGCGTATTCCCTGGGCACCGGGGTTTTGGTGGTCGCGAGCTTCTGGCAGGCGCAGGGGAGAACATGAGTCGCATGGGTGAAGGCTTTCTGATTCGAAGTACGATGTAAATCCAAAACCCAAAGCAGCCAGGTCTACACAGAGTCTACGTAGCTTCTTTGGAAACGTCCTGACATGGGGAGCGGTTGCCGAGCTTCACATGGGGTAGGGTGGAAAGTGGCTCCCGGTTGGTGTTGGTCAGTTCATGACCGTAATTACTCAGTTTCTACCCATTGTGGTTGAGCTGGTGGCTGGTTTTTTGAAAACAGCTTGACCCAACTACAGCCGACACCTGAAAGCTAGACTCTAGTTTTCTCTACTGTTTCTTTCTTTGTTTTTTCGCTCTACTGTTATTGTCCTTCTCCGTGTTTTCCTTCTTTTGTCATCTTCTTCTAAATCCTGCTATTTCCGTTGCTTCCTATTCTTGTCTACTGTAGCTTTTTTCATTGCCTTTACAGTTTTTCAATTGATCTGGACGACGTAAAGCCAACACCATATCCGCAAAGATTCTATATTACTATCGGTATACAGTGCGCTTTTCTTTTTTTTCCGATGCTTGTGTGTGAATATGTCTTTTCCTCACCCTTCCCATTTCTTCTGCTTGTTCACATGTTTGTACCTTTTCCCTCCTCATCTTTCGTCAGGTGCCTCTCTTTGATCCTTCCGAATTTAATCTCTTCGGGACACACGAAAAATGCCGGCCAGTTCCGTTCTGCACGGGACACACGAAAAGGACGTCGGTGCTCGAGGTCGGGACGCACGAGGTCGCCCTTTTGTTCGTTTTTTTTCTCTCAACGACATGGAGATTCGAAGCCAAAAAATCCATGTGGGTTTGGTAGTGATTCTTGCAAAAGGTGGATTCTAAGATTCTAAAAGTACATGGGTGGGAGACCTCAAAATAGGGGGAGACCTCCCGGGCAACGACGCTGTAAAAAGGAAACATCGACCAGTGTTTCCCTCCTAAAATACACACCCACATGGATCCAGGGTTGAAATCTGCAGAGGTGCGCACGTCGCACGCGATGCTCTTGATCGTGAACTCATGGAGTGCGTCGGTGCTGCGCCGGGACTTCAGCTGCATCCGATCCAAACATGAATGGAAACGTGGCTTGGCGAAGGTGCGGTACTGCGCACTGTCCTAGCATGAATTTGGTGGGGGTGAGTTTGCCACATGTACCCCAAGACGGGTTGAGTTCGACGTGGAGTTCGGATGACTACAGGGACCCCGTTGCAGAGGAAAGAGGTGTTCTTGGAACTTCATGTTCTGGTCTCCGCTCATGCAGGGATTTACAAGGCCCTACAAAGGCGGTTGTTTGACATAGCTCTGATTGGTTGGATGGATGTTCTTTTGCCCAGGTTGCCAGGTTCCCATAAGTTCTCGGAAGACCTGCTCTCAGTCTCAGCTGCCTCTGAGAACTAATGTAGAACAACATCACCATAGGCAGGTGGGACCCACAACTACCGGAGAGTCACTAGTCTTTCAGTGGCTTGCTCATTCCTAAGGGTGTTTCATCTCCCATAAAGCAACACCCCTCTTCAGCGATCAAAAAGTGATCTTCCAGTGGTGCAATGCCCAGACCCGCCATGTATGGAATCGAGTCGAGAATCTATGCCTACATGGGTGTCCCCCAAGCCCCAGCGAACTATGGCAGTTTCATGAAGTGCATTTTGAACTATGGGACATAGATTTTGCAACTCCTTAGCCTTCGAAACAGACGAACTTTCCAAACCCACAACTCCTTTCGCTCGGAACCGTATGGGACCAGATTTTGTTTGGTCACTCCTTTTGCCCAGACCGCCGCGACCGCGACCGGTGTTTCTCGGACCGGTGGCTCGGACCGGTGGCTCAGCTTCGCTTCACCGAGCCTCCCAAGAAACAACGACCCCGAAAACGACCGGACGGTGCCCCCGACCTGCTGAATGGCTTTTCGCAGTTCATGAAACCGAACCGGACGATCTTTGGAAACAGGGTCAACTATCATCCCTGAAAGAAACACGAGTTGTGTGGGTCTTGTGCTGTTGAAGCCAAAGGTCTCAGACAGCAGCCCCACGAAAGACACATGACCTATCCGAATCTATCCAACGGACATCAGTGGACCTCCGATCTTTCCTTCATCTTCATTCTTTGCCCCTGGCTCATGACTTTGCGGCCACCTGCAAGCAATCAACCCCCACCAGACCTCCTTTTTTCTTGAGTGTGAAGTTGCGCCAGTTGGTTAGACCCAGATAGTTTACTTCTTGGAAGCCGCAACACATAAGCCGGCTGATCGTTGCTCACTACGATCCCACACTGGCATTTTTTTAAAGCAATTTTTTTCTTGGTCTCAAACTGAGCCCGGGAGACAAGAGATGACAAGAGTGAGACAAACGAATCTGATACAGAAGAAGACGTCAAAGCAGACACCTGCCATTCCATTTTCTCCTTCATACTCTGGAAAGACCTCCCTTTCTTTTGGCTGCCGAGGCATCAGCGGACTCTTCCGGAAGACCTCGCGGGCGTTCGAGCGGTGCTTCTCAGCCTTGGGGATCACCATCGTGATGCTCATCCTCTCAGCGCTCATCGACCTCAGCCACAGGTGCCAGGGGTAGGGGCAGCGGCGCGGACCGCAAGCCGGGCCAAAAGCCACGGTGCGGTTTTCCCGTCACCAGTCATTGATGACAATGATTGGAATACATGTTGAATATATGCTTTTGGAGATCAAGTTCTCGGTCAACGTCCCCATACTTGGAGGACTCCAAACCTTTGCAACACCAATTTCTCGTGGTCCGCTCCAACGGAGCCTCCGAGTCGATTTGCTTCGGCACTTCGTGAACCAAAAGCCCACCGTGCAGGGACCACGTCAGCACCGCCATGAAGTCCGCAAGCTGCCAGGGTACCGACCGGAATCGGTCGAATCGGTTTTTGCAGCATCCGATTCATCACCGTTGCAGGTGGGACGAGGAGATTTTTGCCACCTTGGCCGTGGCCCTCTTCCTGCCGGGTGTCCTGTGGACCAATGCATCCACGACCACAGCTTGTGGCGTGGCTGCAGAATCCTTGGAAAGTGCTGAATTGACGAACTCAGGAGATGCCGAATTCCACTACTGATTCTTAACTAGAACTCGTCGCACACCCAACATATGGAGTATACATGAGGACTGTATACACAATCCAACATATGGCCGCCATCAGTTTTCACACGGGCATCATCTAGGAGGTTCTAGAAACAAGGTCTGGAAGTGATATTGCGATGGGCTGCGCCGAGGCAACCGACTGCCATCTCTGGTGATGTTGCTGGAAGCGGATGATGAAGAGGAGGATGCGGAGTACATGGACTTGGCCATGTTTTTGCATATGAGCATATTGGCAAGGAATTCATGCCAGGCGTCAAGTATTAGGACACTGAACGCACAAAGACATGAAGAAAAGAACAGCAAAAAGAAAGAACAACAGAAAGACCTTGGCGAGATAGAGGTCAGTAGACAGAAAACAAGAGGGCCTTTTGTCGAGGTGATTGAATCATAACGCGTTTATATTGGCAAGACTGACACGACTGCTGGCGGATCGAAACTTCTTGGGAGACCTTTTGAAGAAGAGGGGTCGACGGTCGGGGCACAAGGTCTGTGGTGCATGTGGTCGCTTGCAACGGGTAAGCATACCATTCTGAGATAGAGAAGATACTATTCACAGGGTTCTGTGTATCACAAAGATTCCTTCATCCATCAGGTGTGTCATCCACTTGTGCAAACGTGCAGCTCTTCATGTCCCAATTCTTAAGGGATTGGATTAACTTCGACAATGCAAAAGTTGCATGCCTGTATAGCTGAAGTGGTCATGTATTGGTCATGTTTAACTACATCCAGGAGGCATTACTCAACTCTCCTCATAAGTCGAGGGATGGCGTGATCTCAGCCTCAAGAACATCGCCAGTGGATGCTCTTAGGTGGCAAAGCCTCGAACAATGCACACATCTCTTTTTATTTTTATTTTTTGTTCGTTGAAGTGATACCTGGTCAAGGAAGCTGGTCTTGGAAGCGGCCATGCCCCATGCGTCCATCGGAAGTGGAGCTGCTTCGATCGCCGATTTGCCGCGCCTGAGGCGAATGTGGCTTCTTCATGTGGGACACCTGTGTGACGCTGGGCTTTGTGCAAAAGCTTCTCGGTGGTGTTTTCGCCCTAAGCTTATGAAGATTACATTACACGGTATTACACGAAGTGTATACCGGTTGGGGTTCTTATTTCCAGCAGAAACTTCCATCCAAATACCTGGAGAGTAGGACATCATGTGGGCCTCCTGACTGGCCGTTGCAGACACTCTTCCAACAACCCCCCAGAACCATCAGCTGAAGGCTTATATGCACATGTTTTTCACACACCGCAGCGCACCGATCAGCAGGCAAACGGCTCCGCTCGCGCGGCCTCCCCCGGAGACATCCCCTCGCCCAACCGTCGCCCCTCGCCCACAGGTTTCTCTATTTTACCACGGCCGTGGCCGCGAACATCGGATTTCAGCTCGGCGCCTTTTCGCGAGGATGGGCATGAGGTCGGATGGGCGAGGTGTTCGGCTGTCAATGTTCGGCTTCCGCGCCCTCGAGCTCAAAAGATACCAAAGAAAAGATAGACGGCCTGCGCACCACTCAACCGTACACTGGAAAAGGGTTTCGCGGGCGGCTGTTTTTGTTTTTTTTCGGCGCTCCGCGCAGTCCGGTTTTATATTCACTTTGAGCACAGGGCGGAAGGACAGCGATTTGACCCTCCAAGCTGCGATCCGGTATGAAAACAGCACTGTGAATGCAAAAACTCATGAATCTACTAATTTGTTCACACATGGTGAACACCATCAATGTAACACTGGTTTTGTGCACACGGTGATGACGTGATGCACAATGGTCATGGAGCATCACCGGGTCGTTGAACGGCCCTTTCCGACCGAGCCTGGGAGCGAAACCCCCCAGGTTCGGTGGGTCCGGATCGCAGACGGAGAGGGGTTCCCCGAACCTTGGCCCAGTTCTGCTGTGGCATGGGAACCGGAGCTTGGAGCTTTTCAGGTTCATCTCTGGACACATCTTTGCGACTTGGCGACGTGTCCATTCTTTTTCAAGGCATTTTTGCATTTTCAATGCTGCAACTGCGAGCTGTTTGCATTCAGTTTCACGCAGTGGCAACGTTGGTTTTTTCAAGGTGGAGGGTGCAACACCCCTTCCCCAGAGTGCAACTGGCAATCACTCTGGGCAGAGAAGTTTTACTGACCCCGGGTCCAAACGATACCTTTGACCTGGTCAGTAGCGATGCCGAGGCTCAGTGGCAAGCTCTTAATCGGATGTAGCCAGAAACAGGAAGGACAGCAAGTTAGCTCTGAATAGATCATAGTTCTTTCAATAGATAATTATAGTCTAATAGTTAAACTATATTAATCATTGTTTCACTCACTCACTTCATTTGGGCACACAGCTACTGTGGTTGCTATGTCTCGCTGGTTCTGGCCATATCGCGCTTTCTTTGGAGCATGGGGGCGAGCCATCTTGGACGAAGATGCCTCTTCTCTTCGGCTCTTGCAGTCGGAAGACAAGGCGACTCTCGTGAGGGTAAAGGAAGAAAGCAAAGATGGTCAGGGTACGAACACAAGGAGTTTGAGCATGCAAGTGTAAGCAATCAAGAATGGCCGCACAGAATTAGTGCCTGAAACAGAAAGTAGTATCAAATTGGATTCCCAAACGCTGAAACGATCAGTTTTGCTTCTCATTCCCTCACGGGCTACATATTGATTCTTCGTGGCAAAGGGCGGTAGCTCCACGGACTCAGCAAACTTCAGACTTTGGCAAGCCACAGGCTTGCGCAGGCAGTAGGGGGCAAAGCCACGGGTTGGGGGGGGGGAAGAGCGACCAAGGTTGAAGTTTGCAGAGGCCATGCCTAGCCAAGCTCTCCGCCCTAGGCAAAGCGGACTCAACGACTCAACGGCGAAGCGTTTTTCTTTTGAAGCCGCCGCTTCCGAGTGGCTAAAGATCAGCAGGTGGTGCCTTTTCGCGGATTGTGTGGCACCATAGCTGTGTGGTTTGAAAGTGGACGCAGGAGGCAGGAGGGAGAACATGGCTCCACGACGTGTGATGTTGCGACAAAGGCTGAAAGGCACAGTACTTGAAACCTCCAAATGACTTTTGAACCAGCCTGGTGCTTCCAAAAGAGCTTTTGGACTGGCCGAGAGAGACTGGACTCTGGACTTCAGATCGAAGTGATAGACTCCAGCTTTGTGGATTTCCACGATGGATCGTGACCATGTCACATCACAACAGTTGTTCCTTTGTTGGTCTAAGAACTGCAAGGCGGACGACCCAACACTCAACGCTTTGATGCTTCGAGCGCTGCTGAAGCTGAGTTCGCTGGACTCCAGCCGTTTGGGTACTTTTCTCGGCTGAAAGGTTGGAGCCCGGAAAAAAGACTCCCCCACGTGGAGTGAACAAAGCAGCCAATACTTCGGAGATGTCTTGAAGGAGGTGACGCGACAACGGCAGTTTTTGGATTGAAGCAAGCATGCTGTCAGCGCTGCATCCTGTAGAACCTGTTTGACCTTTGTTTTCATAGAAAGGGCTCATGTTTTTGTGTGTATTTTTATGGTTTTGACATGTTTTGGATTGTTCCTATACTAACACGAAAGCAGCATCTTTCTGCTTGGTTTCAAGTCAAACAAGTCCATCTCCGATGTTTTCAGCTTGAAGCCGCATCTCTTGACCCGAGCTCGAGTTTTGAAGATCTTTTCTTCGAGCCAGATTCATCCCCTACCACCGGATCAAACACATACGCTGCCACATGCAGCACCCGAAACTGTCTTTCTTTTTCCCGCCCAAAACTGCGAACCGGTCTGGCTTGGCTGAAACGGATCAGTGAATCGCTCTAGATCCGGAGCGCGGGATGAACGCCTGCCTGGCAATCTCACTTTGCAGTGTCGGGAAGGACTTCTCCTCCTTTGGTGGCTCGCGAAGCATTGTTCACTCGAAGTGGTGAAGACAACCAGGTGAAGTTCATCAGTTCCTTATTTCACCAGCTCGCGAGCCGCGCAAACTGTATTCTGCGTCCCGGAAAAGACACATTGCGCTTGCGTGTTTTGTTTGCTGACCTTGCAAGTGACATTTGATTTCCTGTCAGGCTAATGGTTTAGGTATGTTTAGGTCCACTTGTTCGAAAGGTCTTAGAAGAGCAACCTGACTCTTGACCAGCCCAGGCCTTTTTGCCTCCAATAGCGCCAAACCCGGCTGACTGTACGTAGAACCCCAACACAGATTCATTTAATGCAGCTTTGTCTCAAGACGGACCTCTCTCAAAAATGTCAGAATCAGCGATCCCCAACAGACGAGGTTGACACTACTGTTCCTTTTCGATGGCATGCCCCAAACTGTTCTGACAGAGCAAACGGTTCTTGGCGGACTGGAACGTAACTACTCCTGGAACCTACGAGCAAACTGTGAGTATAGGAGAGCGGCGAACGGGGTTTTGGTATGTTTTGGTGGGGCTTCCTGAGCAAGAAAGCCGCCCGCGTGATCGGGTCTTGTCACAAAAGGTCCTGCGACGACGGACCGACGTCGCTGGATGTGTTCTGGAACCGAGGGTTGGACGCAACAGCATGAAAGTTAGATGGACAAGAAGCATCCTTCAAAGCTAGACGGACACAAGTTAGACGATGAAAGCAGTTATAAGCAGGTAGTTATATGATTATATAATAGATGTTTTTTTGTCTCATTCTCTCCCATTCCATATTCCTTCTTGAATCATTTTCGACCAACTTCCTTTATCTGACTTCATGGGTTGGTCAACCTGAACAGGGAGACCCTCCAGACTTTACGGTTTTGGATCTATTGGCTCCTTTTTGGGCCCAGAGTTCAATTTAACCTCGGGGTCTGGAAAACCCACTTATGAGTCGTCAACCCATGAAGCCATGGTCCATGGGCCTAAATTTCGGACAAATGATCTTCACCTCACGGACTCACAGGCTCCTTCTGGGATTAGGTGACAGTGGAAGTTCATTTGTGTTTTTTGGGGCAGAATGGCAGAAGGAGGTTGTTGAGTTCTTTCGACTTTTCACTCACTTCCAATTGAAAGGTCAGAGGGTGCCTGAGTTTGTCCAAATCCATCTCACATTGTGTCACATTGTCCAGCTTTGTCTGAACGCTGTTCCGCTTGAGGCCCTTTCCACTGTTCCACTTTGCAGATTTCGATCTTTTGTGGCGGACTTGAGCAGGGAACCCAAGGGGGCACACTGCTGGAATCTGGTCCAAGCACTTGGTGTTCCTGGGTTTGCAGACTAAGTTTTGAGAAGTCAACAGATGGTTTTGAGTTTCTGAGTCAAGCGCATGCAGAAACGGATAGAGAGTTTGCTACAGAGCTGTCATGTTCCATGCCAGCATTAAGGGCCGTGAGCTGGGCTAACCAGGATTGCGGACTCATCGCGTGTGCCATAGCCAACTCAGCTCAGCTCACATCACCAGAGAGTCCATGTCGTCCTCAACGTCGATTGCACCCATGGGCACCGGGGGCAGTGAAGGCAGCACTGAGGCCGTTTGGCCTGCGCCACCGGAGGAGGTGCTGGCGGTGACTTTGGTGGTGACAAATGGGCTTCGGCTATTGCTCCCCAACACTTCAAGAAGTATTGGGTCTCGGTCCTGGGGGCAGGAAGTTGTGCTACATGTGATGTAGACTCAGATTAATGTAGCAGTATATTTTTGGTGAAGCTTGCAGCACATAATTAACTGCTATAGTGCATGGGGGGCGGCCTGCTATTCCACGGCAAGTTTGCCTTTTCTGTCAATCACGACGAGCATGTGAGGCAACTCCTTCAGACACAGAAAGTGGACAGCGTGCTGATGTTCCAGCAGATCGGGGTGAAAGAAGACCCAATCCTCTCTTGCTTCGGCTCACGATGGAGGACGGCAAAGAGAAACAGGTCCCCGTCGAGTCTCACGGAAACCAGAGTCCTTGGACTATGGAACCTTTGCTTCACGACATGGAGGATCTTCGCGAGAGCGGTTTTGTGCAGGTTACTCCAGAAGGGCTAGGATACTCAATCATCGTTTCGCAGAACCCCGTTGAGTCTGCTCAGAAGAAGTCTTGGGTGTCCTTGATCCTTAATGGAAAGCCTTTGAAAGTTGCTGCTGTCACGATTTGCTGTTTTGTCGGCAAGCTGACATTGGAGTACTTAGCAGACGAGTTCCTGCGAATAGCAGGCGAGTTCCTGCGAGAACCAAAAAAAAATTCTTGACAAATTATTCCCAAATACTTGGGGGTCTTCCACCTGCAAATGGCTCTTTTGCGCAATCTTTTCTTCGATGAGGGACTGGTTGAACGTCTCCTGGAGCTCAGATCAAGCTCTGGGCTCCATCATATCCTGGAGCGCAGATGCAACGCTGTTTAGATCAGGTCGCCTCATCATCTTGATATTGCATGCATTGGGTTTGTTTGGGATAGGACCCATCGTTTGGGCTTGGGGCCGCCGCCCGGACGAGAAACCCTTGCATTCGATCGCTCAAGCTTTGGACAAGACAAGCCAGAGCAAAGAAAGAGAATGGAAAGAGAAGCTCCTTAGGACAGATAAGGAACTGAAGGATTGCAAGGAGAAGCTCAAGAATCGGGAGGATGAGCTGAAAGTCCTGCAAGAGAACGAGAATCGAGCACAGAAGATGAACGAAGAATTGAACGAACGAAAGCAGCAGCTTGAAAAAGAACTTGCAGCTCGCAAAGAAGATATCATCAATCAAACGTATGCTCTCATGGAACTGGAGGACAAGCTTTTCAAACAAGACACTGAAGCCCGTGCAGCAGATCGCAATCATAAGAAATTGAAAAAAGACTTTGACGCAACCGCGACGGACCTTAAGCACAAGCGCAGAAGCTTGTTGGAAGTCGACAAGGAACGTGAACGTTTGAGTGGTGCTCTGACTGAAGAGGAAGGGAACAGAGAGAAGCTCCAAAGAGAGCTGAACAAAGCAAAGGATCAGAAAAGAAAGATGGACAGGACTATCAGTGACTTGAAAAAGCAAAAGGAGGACCTTGAAGAGGAGCTGGATGAGAAAGACAAAGAGCTACATCGCAAAAGTGAACGGCTAGACACTTGCAACGGTTATACTAAAAACTACACTAGTTACATATTATTTATACTTAGGACTTGTCATTTTCGTTATATGCTTCCATCACTGACCTTGAAAGCGTGCAAGCATTGATTCTTTGAGTGTTTGGATGAATGTAAGGACAGCAAGCAACAGGAATGCGAGGCACGAACAGAGGAAGCAGCACAGTTAAGACAACAAAAAGAATCTGCAGAGGAGGCTGCGCAGGAGCTGAAAGATAAGAAAAGTCAGGTTGAAAAACAGAGAGATTTGTTGGAGATTAAATATGCAAGGCTTGAGGAGAAAGAGATGAATGCCAGATCTGAACTCAAAGATTTTGAGAAAAGAATTGAGCGTGTCGAACAGAGATTGGCCCAAGAGAAGAACACCCTCAAAGAGAAAGAAAAAACGCTTACTTCTGAAAAGCAGTCCTTGGAGCAAAGGGTGCAGGAATTGGAACCCAAAGCACAGAAGAAGGATGCGCTTGAGAAGGTTCTTCAACGGCAGAATGATGAGTTAGAAAAGGTTCGAACTGCCTTGCACCATGAGCAAAGCACGGCTGAAGAGCGCAAACGGAAAATCGGAGAGCTCAAGGGTGCGCTTGAGGCTGAACGTCTCAAGAGCCAGCGCTACATGCAACAAAGAAATATAGCTTGTGGGCAGGGCAGTACCAGCAGGACAACAGATCCGGAGACACGGCGATGGCCTTTGAAAACTCTTCGAGCATGCCGCATGTGGACTGGTTAATTCTTTGCAACTCTTGTAGTACAAGCCTTTGCCGTGCGGCAAGTGCTGTGGCAGCCAGATCGGCAAGCACAGGACCTTGGGCATGGATGTCAAGTCAGCTGCATCCCAAAAGAGGATGTGTGCCAAGTGTGACCAGTTCGCACTAAAACCAATGCTAGCTTTGCTGTTCTTTGCTAATTCCCAAGGGAACTTTGTATCTGAGCGATTTGCAAAGCTCAACAGTCAACCATCATTTGAAAGCTTATAGGGTCCACATGGAGCAGCGGTTTTAGATCAGTTCCATCGGCGGGCGATGTGCCATTTCCCAGGCCACCAAGCTTCTCGGTCAGGAGTGGTCTCAGAGGCTGGAGTCTGGAGCGATGCAAACAATCTCGAGACCTTGAGACAACAGGCCAGGTTTGCTTCTGAGGATGGTTCAACAAGTGGGTTTCGCCACAGAATGTTGTCTTTATTTGTGAAAGTTTCAATTTTTGAAGTATGTGCGTGCGTGTTGTAGTTGGCCAGGTCTTTGAGAGTGTTTGTGTTCCAGCCATAGTGGGAATTGTCCAACAGAAGTTTGTGGGCATGGAGCTTTTGACAAATTGTATGATCAATGGTAGTTCCATGTCCTCTAGGGTTGTGGACCTGCAACAGATGTGATGCCGAATTATCAGCTAGAAGCTGCGGTGGCAATGATCCTCCCACCGATCGTCATCTTGGATTTAGCACGTTGGGAGAGTTCCTACAGATCAGTCACCTTTTCGTAGCATCAATTTCTGAATTCCTGCCAGGGTTTGCCAGTCGAGTCTTTTTGGTCCAACTGGAGTCCTGGCAGATTTCTTCGGGCCCAAGGAGAAAGACTTGGCACGAGGTCCAGGGGAGGAATCACACGGGGAGGTATTTTGAGATGGGTTTGGATCTGCAGTCTCTCCCCTGTTCGGGGTCCACCAATCTTTAGATACATTCATCTAAACTTTTGCAACCTGGAATGAGTCATGCCAGCCCTTGGGACGCCTGATTAGGAATCTGGGGAGGAGACTATCCATGATTTCAGGTGCCTCATTTCCCTTGTTAAGCTAGGGAGGTCCACAGTACCAACTAGGTTTGGGGAACGGGGGCGCCCATTGTGGGCAAGTGCCCAGATGAACATGGGCCGCATAGCCTTGATTTCATTTTTCTGCCACGCTGCTTCCATTGCCTGAGGTTGTGGCTTTCCGGGATGCTTTGAGGGACTCACTTCAAGAAGTACTTCCGGAAGCAGTATAGTGACTCAGTAGACCTGGCTTGCCAGCAATTTGGGCCAGGTGTTGGGTTATCCAACTATATATAGTTGCTCTTTAGCCTTGATGGTTGATTCCTGGTTTCACATGCTTGCTCAGACACGTCGTTCAAGAGCAGATGAATTCTGTGGAGCTGATGAAGGTGAAGCGACATGTGCAAACTTACGAAACTTACCACAGTGGGTATGGAGCTGATTCTTTGGTTTAAGACGCATTCTTGACTGTTGGCCGTCAATTCACCAAGAGCATGCTGCAACAGAATACCGGCGCGGGGGCTGTATGAGAAAGGGCAGCTGCTGGGATGTGGAACACGACATGCAGTCCAAAGGTCTATATTAGAGGCTAGACGTTTTGTGTTGCCTTTGGTTGGGTATATGCAATGCTGAAAAAATGATGAACTCGTTTGTTTTCAGAAACATTGAATGATGTGGACAGCTTGTTAAAGGCTTGAAACTAGCACTACACAGAAATTGAAGGACAAAGGACGTTTCCTATCCATTGGCGCTCGATGAGGCAAAACTAGTTTCAGTGGGACTTAACATCCCTGGATGAGACATTCTGATATACTGCACGTCACATTGCAAACCTCAAAATTAATTTTACCTGAACATGTACCAATGCTTTAGTTTGAATGCTTAATGCTATCTTCTGTAGGCAGAAGGGCCCTACTTGACAGGAAAAGCAAATTGGACCATTAAGATTTCCCAGACTCAATGAGGAGGACTTCCATGGCACTGATTCGAGTGAACCCAGGAAGGGCTTCGCTTCCTGTGCTGCATTGGCAACGGAGAGTCCAGCTAGAGGTAAAACACCATCTGAGAGCTTCTGAATAATCCAGCGAAGAATGACTACCATTCAGGTGACCATACTCCAACGTTGCTGTTCCAGTGGTCATTTTCAGTCAGAGTTCTTTATGCCATTCCTATTTTTTCGAGTGCCGGGTGTTATTTACACCCAGAACTGTACTGGCCAAACCAACTGCGAAACCAACGTGGGTAGTTCGGCTCCCAGCGACGAGTCGCGACGAGACCGGGCGATCCGATCTCCGCTCGGTGCGGGCAATGAAGGCGGGGCCGTGGTGGCATGCGTTGCTCCGTGTTGCTGGATATGTGGGTCGTTCGTTGGGATGTGGGTCAAAATCAAAGCACGACTCCCAAAGTGAAGGGTTTTAAAAGCCAAGAACCCGAGTGAACCTTCTTTTGGAGGACCAACCATTCAATATATGCTTTTCCTGTCAAGAGCAGTGTTAGATGGGTTCAAGGCAGGGTTTTGACCAATGCCATTCTGATGTCTCAAAAGCAGGGGGCCTGCAAAGGCAAGACAGTTTTTGTTGCACCCTTTTCCCACATGTTTGATGGTTTTAAAGTAGCACGGGGATATGGATACCCCCATGCAGGAAATATTCATGCACTCAGGTGCTGCTCCAGTTCTCTTGCCCATCAATTGTCTGTCTCTTGTTTGGGCCTTGTGTTCGTCCTCTGCACTTTGGGGTATGTCACAAAAGTGCTAAAGTCGTATAAAAATGGTGGCTTGCTCCTCATGGCGCACGCACTATGGCGCCCCATGACCTGGATGCCCGCCAGGCCAGCGTCTTTCTTTTGCTGGCACAGGCCTGGATGAACGGCCACAGCTGCGGGGCAGAGGAAGAAGTTGTTTTTTTGGAGGCAAACCCTATTCTGAAGGTGTTCAACCAACAACACTCTTCAAGTTCTGGTTTTCTGATGGTGTGGCTACCAAAACCATAGAAATGGCACGTGTCAAGACAGCCATGGTCAATCGCCCATGTTTGCATTGGGTTTGAGCTTTGGAACTGGACCAGACTTGACATTGGTCATCGTTCGCTCGCCATTTGTTCAAACGCTACATGGCTGTACCGCGCGCCTGAGGCAGAAAAGCAGTGCAAATGATTAGACACTGGGCGAAAGAGTGCTCAAGTCCGCCAGATGCCTATATGCTCGTAGCAAAGGACTCTCCACCAAGACGGACTTCTTTGTGTCCGGTGAGAAACGTGGGGCAGTATTGCAACGTTTGGAGCAGAGCCTGAGGGACACAACCTTAAGGGTGGTGGGGGTCATTGAACTTCCTCTTGGGCTAGGTTGTGTTTCTGGCATCCCGGAGTGCGCTGTGGTGAAGGAGGATGCTCCCTACTACTTCCAATCCGTCTTCTACGGGACCTTTGCGTGGACACGCTTCGATCATCGTCTTGAACTTTGGTGCTGAAGGCGGCCCTTGAGGCTGGTCGGAGAGCTGAACAATTTAACCGCCGCTGGCGTGTTCCGCCGGCTTTCCAGGTGGCAAGGCCATAAGGTAACAGACACGCAGATGAAAGACACATGTTTGTAGCAATTTGAGCACGGGTTTGGAAAGAAGGGTAGAAACTGCCTGCAGTGGAACACAGGGTAGTTGTTTATCTATAGAAGAGTTTGGCATCTTAGCACAGGCGATGGGCCCCGTGGAGGATTCGCTTGACAAGCAGTTGAACCATGCTACAAGCCAACAGCTTCGTGAGGACATGTTGGCGGAGGCAGGCGGGGTCATCAATAAGGGTAGAATAACTACACCAAAGAGGTGGAGGGCCTTCACCTTCACGAAGGATCAAGAAGAATGTGCATCGTTCAATGGTACACGGATCTGAGCCGCCAAAGACGGGTACGAGATCGACATGGCCAAGGTTGTGTCCGAGCGTTTGCGACCGGTGCCCTTCAGCTCAAAAAGTAAGATGAGGAAGCCCGCCCACAAGAACGAAGTCCTGCTAGAGCACGCAATTGCCAAGCAACGCGTGGATGAGACCCTGCAGAAAGGATTTTTAATGCGCAATCTCTTTCTGACCATCTGGTCAAATCCACAGAGGGAGCACAGATGACTGCCAGACGGCGAAGCACGCACAAAACCGTCAGCCACGAGCGCATGATTGCGCACTGCTTGACGTAGAGGTTTGGAAACAGGGAGCCTCGTTACCAGTTCGCAGTGGGACCTTGAACCTTGTACCCAACGCAGCCAACGGAAGCTGTGGGAGTCTGTTCTGTCACGCATGAGGGCTGCGCTTGTCTGCATTGGGGTTGAGCTTTGGAACTAGACGTGACATTGGTCATCGCTCGCTTGCCTTTGTTTAAGCGCTACAGCGGGTGTGAGGCAGTGTGGGGGCCGCGGTTCATGAGTTGCTACCCACAATGGCCAAGTTCACACGTCACCAATAGCGGACGTGTCGGCGTCTGTACCATCGACTCTGAAACCTATATCATGCTGATCTTGTGGCAATTCATGGCTGTTCGACCTCGGAATTTGAGCTCCTGGTGCTTACTTAACCGATTCCGTGATGAGTCTGTTCTTTCGGTCGGCGCGTGGCAGAAGATGATATCTGAATAGTTTTCCACAAAAACCGAAGAAGGAAGAACAGATTCAAAAGTATTGATCCGCCCAATCAGCCCTCACACATTCCAGCGTGTCATGAATGAGCCAGGTCGTATTATCCAAACAATTTGCTGTGGGGGTTCTCTCTTTAGGTTGTCCTCCTCTTTTTCCTGCTGGCCGCGCTCGCAAACCCTGTGTTCTCCTCTTGTCCTGATCCGCTTCGCCGCAGAACCTAAACTTGAACTCAAGAATCGATAGCCTGTCACGACTGCGTTGACCGTGCCCACTACGTTTAAGAGTTCAGAAGCCTGCAGGTGAAGAGTATGTCCAAATATTTTTTTAAAAAGGATTTTTTATGGTTTGGATATGATCTGGGAATATGTTTTTTTTTACAATTTTTTTGTGAAGCCGCAATTGGAATATGCGGCACTGTTGGGTGCTCACTGTGCCCTTCCTGTGACCACGCAGCCGCCCCTGGAAGATCGCAAGGTTCCGGTTTTGGGGTTCCTGTTCAATATTCCTGGTTGGGTGTTTTACGTGGGTTTGGGGGTACTTGTGAGGAGGGCCCAGGGCCTAGGGCGGGGCGTGTGATGGAAGTCCCCTAGAGGCCCGACACCAGACTCACACCTTTGTGCAAAGTGTATTCTTCCCCATAAACAAAACCTGGAGCTCTGGAGCCACCGTATTTTTTCTGTAAAGAATCCGTTGGAGAAGGGTGCAAATCATATAAAAACCATAAAACACAATCTGCCCAAACCATTAAAAAAACATAAAGCACAGTGTGTTTTATGGTTTTTATATGATTTGCATCCTTCTCCAACAATATGGATTTAATATGGATTTTTTTGTGGCCTTTTTCAGGCCCTATGAGGTGAGCTGAAGCACGTGCCAGACATACCCAAGTGTGTTGCCTGGGGGCCTAGGGCGCCACAATTTTCCAAGTTCTGTGACAGGTCTGACAGCCCCCTACATGAGAATTTCCAAGTTCCCTTATATGAGAGTTTCCAGCTTGCCCACTGACAACACATTCTGCTTATTGCAGCCCTGGAGCGCCTATTTAATAGGCCTATTTAGTAAATTTAGTAGTCCTCAAGCTATTAAAAGAACATTAAAAAAACCATAAACATATCATAAATCCAATTTTAGCCTTTTTCACAACCATTAAAAAAACCATATCTCCAAGCCATAAAAAAACATAAAAACACACAAAAAAAAATTTCTGGAAATGAGCCCTGTGCAGAGGTTATGAACTCATAACACTACGTGTCCCTGCTCCTCTCCCAGCTGCTCACCGGGACACCGGGGCCCTGAGAAGTGGAATTTGCAGCAGCTGGAAGTGACAGACTGCATCTGTTGTTTCCCGGAAAGCCCGCGGACGACCGAGAAGAGGACGTATGTCGACGCCCGGTCGACCCAGCAATTTATCAACTCCCGCATGATTTGTTGGCGCCCCACGAATCTCATGTTGGCGCACGGTCTCATGAAATGCAGCAAGCAGCTCCGGGATGAAATGGCCACCTGGCTGAAGAAGCCTTTCATCCAGCTGAGTGACAAATCAAGCATGAAGATCCATCGACCTTTTCGTGAAGCCGCATTCGGCAGAAACGCTGGTCACCGACGCGCACCAAAAATGCACCATGAGCATCAACCCCTTTTAGATGGAAAAAAGAGCCTTGCAGTGTGGCTGCAAACATTGCAGTGAGATTGTTTTCCAACGTTTTCTAGCAGTTTTTGTCGACGTGTCATTCCCAATGCAGACGTGACCACCAACGGTGGAATTCAGGGGAGTTGACGCAAAAAAAAATCCTGAAACTGTTTGGGGTCCATGCTGGCATAATATCAGCGCTGTCCAGCTTCCTAATCTTGCCTCAAGCAAATGAGTTCCCAAACAAAATGGATGAGAACAATCAATAGCCAAACCGTGCCGAAGCGCCGTCCTTGTAACAAATCTTTGGTTGAACTCGCACCGGGTTCAATTCCGCCGGTTGGGACGCCAAGTCGAGGCCGCCGGCCTTACTTTCCATGCAGAAGATGCTGTGAGGCCGACCACCAAGGCCCGCATTCGAGCCTCTCTTCCCACATGGCGAATGTGTGTTTGGGGCCGTGTGGGCTGTGAGAGTTGTGCTGGTGTTGCTTCAGCTTTAAGAAGTCGAAGTGGGTGGTCTCCCAGTCTTGGCCCCACTCCCACATAGGCCAAAGAGAAGACTAAGAGAAGAGATGAAATGAAATTAAGATAAGATGAACTGAAAAAAGGAGAATCCGCAGATCTCGTGCCTTGTGTGAAGGTGGTGAAACTATTGCAAGGAATGCAGGAACAGTTGGATTCAGAGGCGCGCTGCTTATGCGAGGCCAGCTGTTTTCAAAAGAGATCTTGAGACCCGCAGTGGGTGGCACCATGTCCCGGTGAACATTTTGAGATGGAAGGTCCACACCAACTATCCGGTTTTTGGTGCCATCCGCGGTTGCAACGATGTTTGCAGCCAGAGTGCGGTTTTATGATTCTTCACTCCACCGGGTGGTGCTTCTGAGAACTTCTGTGATCTATCCTTTCCGATTTTTGTGCCGGATCCCGGTCTGTTAGGCCAAGGCAGATGAGGAGACTTAAGCATCTTGGTGCAATGGCTTGGGAAGACCAGGTTCTCGTGTCGTTCGCTCTGAACGGATAGAATTGGAAGAGTTGATGGCTTGGAAGGCGCTTCAATTTTATAGGATTCCACTCTCAGGCATGCCGCATGCCAATGTATTGGAGCACCGCAGGCCCTAGTTCAAACTGCCTTATGCTGCAGTTGTTGGCACTTTTTCAGAAACTACAGCACACAGTCGTTCCAAGGGCCATAGGCAAAACCACATCTGTAGACTGCCGAATCACCCGCGAACATGTCGGTTTCCGGGTGTAGAGCACCAGAATGTCAAAGAAGGGAAGTACGTGGAAGGGCAAGAGATTGATTTTAACGCTTCCAAATTTGCAAACACTGATTAGCAGGAGAAACAGGTAATTATAAATATATAGGTTCCAATTCTTCGTTCACCACGTTCTTTTTTCAGAGACGAACATGTGACGAGATCGCGCGCTGTCCCTAGGACAAGTTCAAATGCTGGTGCCACGAGAACACCGTGGCAAAGGAGAAAGCTGTGCAAGCCTTAGGTGACGTGTCCATGTGCTGCACAAACGTGACGGGTTGGTCCACCAATGGTGCGAAATCTTCTTTTTGTATGTGCAGAAAGAATGGGCCAGGCGCCCAAGAACTGCCAGAGGGTCTTGGGCAAATCGGCTGAGACCTCCTTTGCTATTCATCATTTCCCGATGGGATAGGGGGCCATGATACCCACGGAGAAAATGTATTGGACACCGCGCCACTATCTATTTGGGGACCACTATAAGGGCCATTTGTCCAATCCTGGCAGCGTGAGGTGAAGGAGGCTGAGATGGCTACGACGGAGTTGAAGGACGCTGCGGCGTCCGGACATGGTCGTGGGACGTGACCAGGTCATCCAGAAGATTCCAGAAGCAACAAGGGGCCAAGACCGAATGAAACCCTCACTGTTTGAAGGAGATCCTAGAAACATATAAAAACAGATGATGCCGGATGTGGTTTTGGTGGGGTTTTGCAGAGGGGATCCAAAGATGACAAGAGTCCAAACTAGTGGAGACTAAGTTGCGCTTGTGTTGCCGACGATGCCGCTATTGGACGC